CCTCAGATCTCAGCTTACTGAGTAGATAAGATTACAGGCATGAGCCACTGCCACCTGGCAAACACTTTTTTTTTTTTTTGATTGGTCGTGGGGCTTGAACTCTGGGCTTGGGTGCTGTCCCTCAGCTCTTCAGCTCAAAGTGAGCACTCTACCACTTAAGCCACAGTAGCATAATAGTCATTTTTTTTTAAGATATGCATAGTGGCTCAAGCAGTAGAGCACTAGCCTTGAGCTGAAGAGTGGAGGCCCAGAGTTCAAGTCCCACAACCTACCAAAAAAAAAAAAAAGCTATGAAAAAAGACATGCATAGTATCCTAGTGAATTGCTCCAACTTATTTAACTGGACTTCTATTGCTAAATATTTAGATTTGTTTTCATTACAAATAACACTGCAAATAACATTTGTTTCAAAGTACCCAATTTTTAGCAAGCAAGATGCATAAAATATATTCTAAAACTCAAGAAAATATAGCTGCTATATTAATAGTAGATACATGCTAAATTTTGGTACATACTGCCACATTACTGTAGAAAAAGCTTGCAATAATTTATACTCTAGGAACAATGTGTGATAGTGCCTGTGATCCTGCATATCACTCTTTCAAAACTTGGAGAATGTTTTCCACTGCAAACACTTACTGGATGGTTTCTTTGTGTGCTTTAGACATTGTACTAGGTTCGGGGATTTTAAATGTGTTCACTATAGCTAGAGGAAGATTTGTTGGTGAATTGAGGTTCCTTTGGGACTAAGAGCTTCTACTCTTTTAGAAACGGACTGCAAGCTGGTGAGGTATTTCATTTCAATTGAGCTTAATGGAAACCTGTTAGTGAGTTTTAAAGTAAGGACCAAGACAACTGAAATGGTAAATGCAGTCTCCTGGGTCCCCAAAAAGAGGAAACAACATCTGTGGGTTTGCATGCTTGGAAGAGCCCCTTTCCAGGAGCAATCACGTTTCAGCATTGACTTGGTTTGGATATGTGATCTGCTAAAGACTCTAGTCATCCATACAATGGGTGCTTCCTACTAGGCAAAGGGCCACACTTGTGGCTTAGGGCAAAGCAAGATTCATAATTGGGAATGTAATAATGCCAGCTATCATTTATTGGCCAGAAGACATAACCTTTATAGACATTAATTGATTTAATCCTCATAGCAAACCAATGATTGAGAGAGGGTTGCTATGATGCTCATTTTAAAGATAAGAGTACTGAATTTAGGGAAGATAACTCATCTAGGGTCATAGGATTAGCAATATCACAGTGTCTGGTTGATTTTAAAGCTCATACGTGGATGCCATGACTCCATCTGATACATTATATACACATTTTAAAAATAGGGCTGGAAAGGTGGCTCAGTGGTAGAGCGCTTGCCTTGCATGCATGAGGCCTTGGGTTCGATTCCTCAGCACCACATAAGCAAAAAAGAAAAAAGCTGGAAGTGGCGCTGTGACTCAAGAGTGGTAGAGCACTAATCTTGAGCTGAATTGCTGAGGTACAGCACCCAGGCCCAGAGTTCAGGCCCCATGACCAGCCCCCCCAAAAAATAAATAAAATAAAATAAATATATCTTCATGGGTCAGGTGTCAGTGGCTCATACCTGTAATCATAGCTACTCAAGAGGTTGAGATCTGAGGATCTAGGTTAAAGCCAGCCATGGCAGGAATGTCTGTGAAATTCTTATCTCCAATTAACTAGTAAAATAGCTGTTGTTCAAAGTGGTAGAGCACTAGCTGTAAGCAAAAAAGCTTAAGAATTTTTAAACCTTAAGTATCCCTAAAGCATTCTAAGTTCTAAGTTCTGGTAAATAATGCCCATCTCTTATACTGACTAGACTAGGAAGCTTGTTTTCAAATTACTCTTTTGTTGAATGTGAACAATTCATTTGATGTGAGCAATGCTCAGTGCCTTAGCATTTTACTTCATTTCATTTCATTTTAGAAGTGCTGGGTAGTACTAGAATTTGAACTCAGAGCCTGCACTTGATAGATAGACACACTACCCCTTCATCTACATCCCCAGGCCTTTTTTGCTTTGCTTTAGTTTATTTGTAAGGTAGCATCTTATGGTTTTGCCCAGGGTCTACTTCATACAGAAATCCTCCTATCTACTGCCTCCTTGGTTGGTGGGATGATAGGTATATGGCACCACAGCAGGCTTATTGGTTAAAAAAATGGGGGTCCTGCTACCTTTTGTCTGGATTGGCTTTGAACACTGATCTTCCCAGTCTCCATCTCTCGGGTAGCAAGGATTACAGGTATGAGCCACTGTGCCTGGCTGTTTATTGGATTTTTTGAAACAAGGCCCTGCTATGTATGTAATGCTGGCCTTGAACTCACAATTGAATCATTACTGTTGAAAGATAATAGAAGACAAAGAGATTGATGGCTCCAAGCTTCCAATCCAGGTGACTAAAGGGCTGCTGGTATACTTACATGAGACAAGGAACATTGGAGGAAGTGGCCATTTGGGATGAAAAGAAACATAGATATTGAATGCCCTGTGATAAATGTGAATATGAAGTACTGCACTGAGCTTTATCATGAAGTAGAAGATGAAGCAATGGGTAGAGATAGGAGTATAAAGGAGTATATAAGGGAGTATAAAGAATAAGAGCACTAGAGGGCAAATCATATATCCATAGAGGGGAGGATCAAGGATATTGAGGAACAATTGGAGAGATGCGTGATATTAAAAAGAAAATAGAGCCAAGTCAGATACTATGAGAGAACCTAAGAAGTGACCACCAGTCAGCTAGGTGGTTACTCTTGACCTTTGTAAGAGTAGGTGAACTCTCATCCCAGTGCTCTGTGCTAGAGGCCCAAAGGTGAGTAAGACACAGTTCCTGCCCTTAGGGTGTTCACACTTAAATCTCTAACAAAGACAACAGAAAAACAGAGCAGTTCAGGCTGGAACTCTGCTATCTACCTCCTTGATGACCTGGGTTAAGATGTGTGAAACTTGGAGGGCTGGGTGGACTTCTTTTTCCTGTCTCAGTCTTTCATGGATATCTTCCATTGGCCAAATAGAATGGCCTGCCCAAGAGAAGGTAGCCTTCTTTTGTTCCCTTACTGGAACTTCCAAGTCACTTCCCATATATGCTAGCTTCTTTCCATAGCACTATCCTCTTTTATAGACCCAAACTCAGGGACAACAGAGTGTGTATTTGAAGTTACATTTGGATCTTAATGTTATATATAACAGCCAGTACTTGTGGTGATAGTGGTGGTGATTGAAGGCGGATGAAAGTCTGTTCAAGGTAAGGAAAGGAATCGTAGAAGATGGTAGAAGAAAGGTGGAAATTTATCAGGAGGAGTTAGCTAAAGGACTAGCAGGGGGAAAGTGGGTAGGATTTTGTTAGGCAGAGGATTAGGATGGGAGGGTGATGGGGGAAAGGAAAACAACATTCCTGGCAGAAGGAATAGTAAAAAGCGAATTGGAAAGTAGTAAGGTCCAGGCCAGGCTCAGAATAGCACATGAGGGCAGTAGGGCAGGCTGGAACAGAGACTTGGGGCCAGATGACGGGGTTCTGAGGGAGTTTGGGCTTTCTTCTTCTGTGGTTTGATGGCTTCTAGAAAGGAACCTTCAAAAGCTTTTCAGGAATTCAGGCTTGTCTGTCTCAGGCTTCTCCTCCTGGAAGACCAAGGCCCAAAGTGGCAGCCTGACATTCAATCTCTTTTGCCATGGTTGGGAAGTCAGGCTGTAGCTGATTTCATTGGCCTGTTTTGCATTTATTATAGTGTGGCTTTTATAGTGTGTTAATTGAAATATTTCCAACTGCCAAAAACAATTACACTCAAATTGCCTTGTCAGTTCTTTTATTGCCAGATAAATGTTTTACAGACATATTTACAGGGGGCAGTGGTAACTGGATCTTGTTTTCTACTTAAGGCTGGTGGTTTGGGCTGGGATCAGCTCTCTAGGGCTCTGCAGTGGGCCAAAAAGCTGTTGGATGTTGTGGTGCTTCTATCTCGTTACCTTAGGAATCAAAGGCTGTTCAAAGGAAAGAATTTTCTGGCTCATATGGCTTAGCCTCAGAAAAGGGTTCCCACCACCAGGAACCTTGGCAACCTGGCAGAAATCTGAATCCTTTCAACCCAAGCTGAGACGTGCTTTTCTGTTCTGGAATCCCTATCCAAGTGTTTCCCAAAGACCCTTGTAAGAACTGTGAGAGCTCATCTTGTCTCACTCACTTACTGTGGGCTTGAGGTAGTCCAGAGACTTGCCCAAGATCACACAGGTACTCTGTGACCGTGCTGGAAGCAGAGGTCTTTTTCTGATGTGTCATGTTACCTCTGGCTTACATTCCTCTGTTTGTCTTGACTCCTTAGTGCATGCTCTAGGCTGACTTCTTTCAAACCTTCCCCTCCCTCACATCTCTATTCTCTGCAGATCCCCTCATGCTTGATGACCTGAAACACGCTATCTAGATGATATAGATACATTGTTGGAATTGTATTGTAGAATGGTTTACTATGCCTGTGACTGTTCTTCCCTTGCCTCTGCAACTGCTATTTTCTCCTTCTGAAAAACATCTTCTCTACCTAGACAGTGCATCTTGTCCTGTGATACCCAGTTAAGAAATGGCCACTTCTGGAAACTTTCCTGAGCACTCCAGACTGAGTGGGTACCCCTATGCATCCCTGCAGCACCTTGTGACAGAGTTAGCTTTCCAAGGAACATGCTAAGTGACTGAAAGTGAATGAAAGTGACAAACACAGATTACACTCACCAGACTTCTGTGAACCTTGAACAAACGATGGAAGAGACTCTCTCTCTCTCCCCTCTCTCTCTTTCTCAGCTGTCTCTGTCCCACTGCTTAGACTAGTGCCTAACAAATACAGAAATACACCACCAAAGTTTATCAACTTGAATTGCACATTGTTTGGGTTAGCCAGCATTCTGTCACTATAACAAAATCACTGAGGCAGGTTTCTTTTAGCTCACAGTTCTGGAGGTTCAAGGGCATGGCTACTGCCTGAGCTAGCTTTGTTAAGGCCTTCATGGTAGATGGTGGAGATTGTGTAGGAAGAGGATCCCATCATAAACCAAGAAGCTGAGAGAGGAGGTCACAGGCTTGCTCCTTATACGGATACCAACAAAAAGCAGAATTAGAGGATTGGCTCAAGTGGTAGAGTACCAACAAAGGAAGCAATAAGCCCTGAATTCAAGCCTTGTACTGAAAGAGAGGGGGGATGGGAAGAGAGAGAGGGAGGGAGAGAGGGAAGGAGAGAGAAAGGGAGAGAGGTAGGAAGGAAGGAAGGGAAAGAAAGAAGAGAAGGAAGGAAGGAAGGAAGGAAAGAAGGGAGGGAGGGAGGGAGGAAGGGGGGGAAGAGTTAGGGAGGAAGGGAGGGAAGAAGAGAGGGAGGGAGGAAAGTCTAGTGCCAAGTGTACCCAGTTATTCCTTGTAAGTTAGTCTCACTGATGCTAAAACAGGATTGCCTCAGACACAGTCCCCATGGCAGGACCAAGGAACACATGTTCCCACTGAGAGTGTTAGAGAACTGTTTTTGAGACTTGAGAAAGTTTAATAACCTTTATCTGCAAGGTTTTGGATAGAAAACTCTCTGTGATACTATTTATGATATTCCCACATCAGTTGGCTTGTGACTTTGCCTTCTGTTTCTCTCCTTTTTCCTCCAGAGCGTCAATGTGAGCAGAGGAGCCAGGAAGAGAGTAAGTGCTGACCGACTCCATCATTTCTCCCAAGGTGCTCATGGCACCTTTTATGTTGGAAATATATCTATATATCTTTGGAAAAATCAAACAAGATAAAACATTAAAATTACCCTTAAAGGGCCGGGAAGGTGGCTCAGTGGTAGAGTGCTTGCCTTGCATGCATGAGGCCCTGGGTTCGATTCCTGAGCACCACATACTCAGAAAAAGCCAGAAGTGGTGCTGTGGTTCAAGTGATAGAGTGCTAGCCTTGAGCTGAAGAGCTGAGGGATGGTGTTCAGGCCCAGAATTCAAGCCCCACAACCAAAAAACAAAATTACCCTTAAATCTACCACCCTGGAATAACCTTCTAGTTAACATATGATATTGTATCATCCTAGATATTTTTATGAATATATGAAAATTACATATGTTATTTTTTACACAGAATCACACTATGTATGTATTACTGTATAGCCTGTTGTTTCAAATAAAAAATTTAGAGTATTTTCCATTGCTAATAAACATACTTCTATAGCACTGTTGGATTTACTACATAATGTTTTGACATATATTCCTTAAGGCCCTATCATAATTTTTCAAGCATACCTATTGTTGGACATTTAGATCTCTTTTTAGACATATCCTGTTAGTATATAAATTCACACACCTAAATCTTTGGGCATGTTCCTTATATCCTTAATATAAATTTGCACATATAGAAATTTGAATCAAAGAATAGAAATAGAAAGAATAGAAACAGCCATTAGGCAAGCTTTGGTAAATTTTTCCAAACTGCTCTATAGAAAGGTCATGTTCCTTTATGGGTGCCTGCTTTCACAGTTTCACCAATACTGGATGCCAGTTTGGTTTGGTTTTTGTTTTATAACTTGCCAGATTTTTTGGGGTGGGGGAAACATTGATTTATTTTATATATCTTTGATTGTTGGTGAGGATGAACTTAAAGTCTGTCTACCTATCTATCTATGGCGACATAGGGCCTTAAGGCCTGGTAGGTAGATAGATATTTATCTGTCTATCTATAGATCTATAGGGCCTTAAGTCCGGATAGATAGATAGATGATAGATAGATAGATAGATAGATAGATAGATAGATAGATAGATAGATAGATAGATAGATATCGTGGCCTGGTAGTTACCTGTTTGTCAGAAAAGGCAAAACTTCTAGTCCTTGAGTTTTGGCTTAAAGTAATCAAGTATGATGCTGGAGGGGATGTGGACAGAAGGGAACCCTACTGCGTTGTTGATGGGAGTGTAAACCTGTTCAACCACTTTGGAAAGTAGTATGGAGGGTCCTCAAAAGACTCCACATAGAGCTCCCCTATGACCCAGCAATCCCACTTTTGGGCATTTACCCAAATGATCACAGACCAGACCACATTAAAGCTCCCAGCACAACTATGTTTATTGCAGCATTATTTACCATAGCTAAGATATGGAGCCAACCCAGATGCCCTGCAGTAGATGAATGGATCAAGAAAATGTGGTAATATATACACAATGGAATTCTATGCCTCCATCAGAAAGAATGACATTGCCTCATTTGTTAGGAAATGGAAAGACCTGGAAAAAATTATATTAAGTGAAGTAAGCCAGGCTCAAAGAAACATAGGTCCCATGGTTTCCTTTATTTGCAATAGCTAGTATATGTCTGAGACAAGCATAAAAGGTCAGATAATTTGATGTTAGGTGAAATGAAATGTTTTTGCTTTCATGCAATTGTTTCTAACATATTTATAAGATGATTTCTTTTTTTTTTCTTTCTTTCTTTTTTTTTTGGGTCAGGTCGTGGGGCCTGAACTCTGGGCCTGGGTGCTATCCCTCAGCTCTTTAGCTCAAGGCTAGCGCTCTACCACTTGAGCCACTTCTGGCTTTTTTTCTTTTTGCTTATGTGGTGCTGAGGAATCGAACCCAGGGCCTCAGGCATGCAAAGCAAGCGCTCTACCACTGAGCCACCTTCCCAGCCCTATAAGATGATTTATTTCTTTGTTGCTTTGTATGTCCCTCCCCCATGGTATAACCCCTGCTTTCACTGAATTTGATGTTGGTATAATTTATGGAGGGGAAGGGAAAAAACAAATTGTTTAAATAGGGATACAGATGGACCTATTGCAGCAATGAGATGTACAAATTGTTATGTTGAAAAATGAACTTTACGGGCTGGGAAGGTGGCCCAGTGGTAGAGCGCTTGCCTTGCATGCCTGAGGCCCTGGGTTCGATTCCTCAGCACCACATAAGCAAAAAGAAAAAAGCCGGAAGTGGCGTTGTGGCTCAAGTGGTAGAGTGCTAGCCTTGAGCTGAAGAGCTGAGGGACAGCACCCAGGCCCAGAGTTCAGGCCCCACGACTGGACCCAAAAAAAAAAAAGAAAAGAAAAATGAACTTTACAACCTTGGCGGGGGGGGGGGGGTGGGGGTAGGTTGGGGTGGTGGGGTGGCGGGGATGGGAAGGGATGAGAAGGGGAAACAAAGGAGGAGGCAACAATGCTTGATAAGAAATGTACTCATTATCTTGCCCATGTAATTGTAACCCCTCTGTACAGTATTTTCACAATAAAAAACAAAAAGTAATCAAGTACAAGAGAAAACAAGAGTAACTTATTGTAAGCTAGCAAAGTAGAAGATCAAGGATAAATTAGAGTAGAGCAGTCTAAAGAGCATCTTGGCATCTTTTCTGGAGTCTAAACCACTTTTTCATGAAGGCTTACATTTGGTAGCTTGCTGGTCTGGACTTTTCTTTCTAAGCTAAAGGGAAGGGGGAAGGGAGGAGCCAGTTCTGGTCCCACCGCTGTGGCCAGAACCTACCACAATATTTCAGCTAAGCCCTGACCCTCAGGGCTGTGGTTTTCAAGGCAACGAGACCTCTGGCCTGGGCAGTTCCTTTGGACTCTTCCATGGAGGAATCTATTGTATTTTATATTCTATGTACAATAGGCAGAGCTTGGCTTCGGGGAAGTTTCATGGATAAAGAGGTTTCCTGTAGCATTCCTCACTTGTCTCAGCTGATCAGACACTCCAGACCCTCATGTGAGGTGATTTGTTTTGTTTTGTTTTTAAATTGTATTATCTTTAAATAGTTGTACAAAAGGATTTCAATTCAACATGTTAGTTTACTAGTACAATGTACGTTAATCAATATCACCCTCATGTAAGGTTTCTGTCCCAGGATGAAGATTCAGGGACTGAAGTGGGAGAAGGGACCGATGACTGGAACCAGTCCAAAGTCACAGTTAGACCCCCTGACCAGCTAGAGTTGACAGAAGCGGTGAGTGAACAATCTCCTATCATTGCTCCTGCCACCTCTTCAGCTTCAGAGTTATTGTCTTCCATAGTATGGATTAGAAGCCTGCACAAGCCTGAATGTGAGACTCTTACTGACACCCTGGGGGGCCTAAACCTCAGAGAGAGTGGCAGGGATCTAGTACATGATCCTCTTGGTATTTCTCTCCCTCAGGAGTTGAAGGAAGAGTTCACTCGGATCCTAACAGCCAACAACCCACACGCACCCCAGAATATTGTCAGGTACAGCTTCAAAGTAAGTCGTCCCTCTTTGGGCAAGGCCTCTGTATCTCCTTGGAGAAGCAGTGACTTGTCACATTACAAATGCATTTTACATAGTAGAGGAGTCACACGTCTAGTTCTTTTTGCTGGATAATTGGAGATAGGAATCTCATGGAGTTTTCTGCCACAGCTGGTTTTGAACTGTGATCCTCAGATCTCAGCCTCCTGATTAGCTAGAATTACTGGTGTGAGCTACTAGTACCTCTGTTTCTTCTTCTATTTTGAACCTATTTTGTTCCATGTTTACTATATATTAGTGTTAGATCCTATATTGGATTTTTATTTTTCTTTTGCTACTGAGATTTGAACTAGGCCTTGTGCTTATTAGGCAGGCACTTTATCATTTATATCCCCTGCTATTTTTGGTTTTATTCTTTTTCAAACAAGAGTCTCAATTTAATTAATTTATTTATTTATATTTTTTTGGCAGTCATGTGGCTTGAACTCTGGGCTTGGGCACTATCCCTCAGCTCTTCAGCTCAAGGCGAGTGCTCTACTGCTTGAGTCACAGCGCCACTTCTGGTTTTTCTAGTGGTTTATTGGAGATGAGTGTCTCATGGACTTTCCTGCCTGGGCTGGCTTTGAACCATGATCCTCAGATCTCAGCCTCCTGAGTAGCTAGGATTACAGGCGTGAACCACCAGCGCCCAGCTTAGGAATTTCGATTTTTTATCCCTAGGCTAGCCTGGATTTTAATCTTCCTATTTATGCTTCCCACATTGCTGGTATGAGAGGCACAGATCCTATGCTAAGCTTATGGACTGAGATGGAGTTTATCAAGCTTTTTGGCTAGATTAGCTTTGAATCAGAACCCTCCTGATCACCTCTCAAGTAGCTGGGAATGTAGACATGAGCCATGTCTCTTGTTTAGTTAGATATTTTACATAGAATATCATATATAATTATTATGTTGCTTTAATGTAGGAATTGTATATCCAGCTGGACTTGGTATGTACTGAGAATGTGGAGGTAGGGTCGTGAAGGTGCGTTTGGTGCTTATATCTGCTCTGCCCAGGGTCTGTGGTAAAGCAGATGGATTGGGATCCTTGGTGTAGACAGAGGAGACAAAGCACCTGAACCAGTGATCAGTAAATGTGGAACTGCTTCAAGTTGGAAGCAGAGGGTATTTAGAAAGAAATATTTGATGAGAACTTTTTTAAATGCTGGATTACATTTGCTTCTTTAAGCTGAAATTTGGTGAAAACTTCAAGTTAATGGAAGAGTTGGTGAATTGTATTTCCTTTAACAGAAATGGGTTGTCTAGCCTTAGAAAATAAAGGAAGACTACATTCTGACAGCATCCTTTTTTGAGATCCCTGGTCTTACTCAGCCTCTTCTCTTCTTAGGAAGGCACGTATAAGCCTATTGGCTTTGTGAACCAACTTGCAGTTCACTTCAGCCAGGTGGGCAACTTGATTCCCAAAGACTCTGATGAAGGACGGCGGCAGAAATACCGCAATGAATTAGTGGCAGGTAGGACTGTGGACCAGCCTGAGGCCGAAATCTTGAACCTAGTCCCCTTTGTCTGGGCTTTCCAAAGAGTTGATTCCTATGCCAGAACATGGCAGAGCCTTCACTTACATAGTGTCTGATAGCTAGTTTTCCTGGACAGGCCCAAGAGTTATCCTCTAATACCCAGGCTAAAAACTCAAGGACATACAGGTTCTGATAGGCAGGCACCAAAAAAGTCATCCTGTCAGGGAATGGAGGAACAGGCCTGGACTTTGGCTTATTGGAAATTTTCAATCAAGGTTCCCAGGAGTCCATCAAGCAGGTGGTTTCAGACACAGAAGTCCTTGAAGAAGAGGAAGAACCAAAGGAACCAGGAACAGAAGCTGGCAGTCAAACAGATGTGCCTGTAACTGAAGTGTGTATGATGTTACTCTCTGACCTACTCCTTCCAGGGAAAACTGTGGATAGAGGCTGCAGGGGTGGTTCAGGACAGAAGGAGGGAGGCAAACGTGAGACATTAGAGGCTGCAGATTCCAATGTGTCTGTAGCATCATCTCTCCCACCCCCATTCTATCCAACTTCAGGAATGCCCCTTATGCCTGATTCTCCTGAATTCCCACTGCCTTCCTCTTATAGCTTGTCCTCTGGATCTTTATTTCTTTTCAGGCAGCTGAAAAAGTAATTGAAGAAGAACTTATGGCTCCTGTGCAGCCCAAGGAGCGAAAACTCACTAACCAGTTTAACTTCAGTGAGAGGGCATCACAGACTTTAAACAACCCTCTTCGGGTACAGTCTCCTTTATTTTGACACTGTTTTGTATAGCAGGGGAGAAACAAACCTGATCCCATCCTAGCAGTCCTCAACTTAGCAAGGGTGGCAGGGAAGACCACAGTTTTACCTCTCTAAGGAGAGCTGGGACATACATTAAAGTCCTTGTAAGCCATCTGGGCAATTCAAGTGGAGTGACAAGGAGCGTATGAATCTTGCAAACTCCAAAGAGACTAAAACTAAGCTTTGGCTAAGGAATAGAAAACTGCACTTGGGAGGGACAGACAATGTCACATCATGCTAAGGGTGAAGGGGGCCTAGGAATCAGTCCAACTGAAGTTGATAGTCTCTATTGTAGACTAACTGGAAAAATCTAGAAGGTTCTCTGATTTGTAAGTATGGAAGATCTTGAGAACCAAGCTAAGGGAGCCTTACAGGGTTTTAGGTACGAGATTCACAAACAAGGGCAGTGTTTGACAGAAATAAATCTGCAATGGAGGGCAAAGATTTACACTCTTTATGGTCCCTTATGTTGACATCAGCTAATCTGGATGATATATCATGGGGGAGAGTGACTTCCCCTAGTGGAGCCAAAGACTCCAGTATTGAAAGAAGCCTTTTCAGAATATGGGATAATAGTTCCAGAGCCTGTTGGAAGCTGGTGACATCTTGGCTTTTTGTAGATCTGTTCATCCACCACTTGGAATTTATCTTGGTTAAAACAGAGACAATAAGTCTACATTGTCATGCTCTCTAGCTTCAGCTTCTTCTGAAAGAGGCCAGAATGGAAAGAATGTGGGCTTTGAATGCATTATTCAATCCCTTTCTTTATTTTCCCAGATTTGTGTCCTACCCCTTCCTCAACCATCTCCTAAGTTGGAGTGAGGAGGAATTGAGAGTTTTCTGTGAATTTCCTGTATCATTGTTCTTTAGGACCGAGAATGCCAGATGGAGCCTCCTCCCAGGGCAAACTTTTCAGCCACAGCCAATCAGGTAAGACCCTGGGTTGGCCTGAAACCCATCATTATCCCTAATGCCATTCATCCTTGTCACTTTCAGCAGCAAAGGAGACAAGCCTAGTTAAGGACTCCTCTGTCAGTCTGTCCTTCTCATCTATCCACCTATCTTCTCATTGTCCTGAGCATTCAGTTTCTAAACACCAGGTACAGCATACAATAGGTCTCCATATAGCAAGCTCTAGATCAGCTAGCTACATGCCATCACACAGAGCAAGGCTGTCCCAGCTGAAAGTATACATGGTTTCTGGAGCTTTCTCCAGACTGGGTGATAATAATTATTCTCATGGACTCTTTGGAGCCCATGGCACCCTGTAGCTGACTTAGTAGTCTGACATTGTCCTTCCAAAAGCCTTTGGCACTTGTAGACTCTCCTACTGCCCCCTCAAGTACTCCTAGATGACCATGCTGATTTGGGCAGGATCTGGAGCTAGGAGACCTAAACTTAGGCTGTAACTCTGCTATTCCAGTGATTAGATTTTGAGCAACGCATGCTTCAGTTTCTTTCTCTGTCAAGAGAGAATGAAAGTGGCCTCACAGGGTTCTTGGAGAGTTCTCAGTAAGCTTAGCCTATGCTGACATACTCTGCAGAGTGAGTAGTGGCCTATGTGTGAGCTTGTAAATGTAAGGTGTGCCTATCTGGCCTCCAGGTGGCAGCGACTGCCCAGTCTGGTCCGTTGCATTGCCCCAGCACCAGATCCTTTGCTTCCTCAGCGGCTGTCACTGGACTTCCCTTTCTTCAGGTCCACTTAGCAGGGGTTCTCATCATTTATTTCTTTCTAATTCTGAGCTATGATCAGCGCTATAGATAGCTGGCCTGAGCCAGTATTTTTTTTTTTTGATGGGGGAGACATGTTTTCAATTTCCTAATTCAGAGTCTTATTGGTCACTAACAAAGATGTTAGGCAGCTGATTTTGCTGGTTTGTTTTGACCAGTGGAGACTTCAGGCTAAGGCAGTGCTGCTCTCTACCTAAAGACTGAGACACTGGGCTCCAGGGTTGGTAGGCCAGATCAGAAGTGTCCTTGAGAGTGCCTTTAGTCTTGTTCCAAAGCCGAGGGCTAGCAGGGAAGACAGACACTGAATACATAATTACACTAGGAAGAACAGAGGTTGCTATGTTGACTTGTGACATGTTATCATGGTCAATTCCTTAAGTTGGAATGCTGAAGAGAAGCTGGTTGGGTGATGACCCTCTTATCTTGTCCTTGTCTAGTGGGAAATCTATGATGCCTACATGGATGAACTTGAAAAGCTGGAAAAGACCAAAGAGAAAGAAAAGGCAAAGACTCCAGTGGCTAAAAAAACAGGGAAGAGGGCCTCAAGGAAGCTAACATCCATGGAGTCCCAGGTTTGTCTCTGTCACAGAATGTCTCAGTCAGGCAGCAGCCTCTGGGTAGATGGAAGCCTGACTGGGAAGGGCCTCACAAATACTTAAGAAGACAGCTAATGTTGAAGTGTGAATAGTTCTTTCTTTGGGGCATGATATGAGGAGAAATACAATTGCCTCTGGCATTTTGTGTCCCCCGCCAATTTTATATAGTCCCAAAGAAGCCATGAACTTTCTTGAAACCATTATATAGATATCAGGAAGAAATAATCTGCCTAGGATAGGGGTAGGAGGTGAGGACAAGATACCACTTCCAAAGGATTTGGGCGGGTAAGAAGCTTTTCTGCTTTAAGTCCTTGGGTTTAATTGTACCTGACATTTAAGGTGGGTCTTAAGAGCCAATATCTAAGCCGGGCGCTGGTGGCTCATACCTGTAATCCTAGCTACTCAGGAGGCTGAGATCTGAGGATCGAGGTTCAAAGCCAGCCCGGGCAGGAGAGACCGTGAGACTCCTATCTCCAATAAACCACCAGAAAACCAGAAGTGGTGCTGTAGCTCAAGTGGTAGAGCACTCGCCTTGAGCTGAAGAGCTGAGGGACAGCGCCCAGGCCCAGAGTTCAAGCCCCACGACCGACAAAAAAAGAGCCAATATCTATGTTAGAGATAAGCACAGGTACTATCAGTGCCAGGTCAATGAACATGGATAATATGCTGGGTTTACCATGAGGAGCCATGTAAGAGTCATTTTAAAGATCAAGAGTGGAGGCTCACAGGGTCATAGCCAGCATATATTTGTGGAGCCACACAGAATAGTGATCCAGCGATGAAGGAAGAGTCACCATAGGGAGATGCTTAAAGCCTACCCTTCAGCAGTGAGAAATCTGAGTTGGAGGCCAGGTCTAGTGTTAAGATGAGGATGGGTTGGGTCTGCAATGAAAAAGAGCCAGAGGAAGCTGGGGGCAGGCTTCAGCACCACGGACAGCTCCCACAGAGCCACTCTCAGGGAAGTAGAAGCTGGAGCTCCACTTCAGAATAAACCAGATCCATTAAAGGAAGTTCTGCTTCCTTTGAAGTATGCTCCCTTCCTCTCAATCCTCTGTTCTCTAACCTGATGGTGTCATTTTTGAGGGAATGTTTGAAGGTCTTTTGTTATGGTTTCATAGAAATTGTTCCAATATATCTGTTAGAGTGGAACCCAGTGATCATGACCATGCTGGGTACTGGAACTCTGAGGTGAAAGAATAGAGTCCCTGCCCTAAGGCTTGTTCTGTGCAGATTCTTGGCTCGTCCTGTATCATTCCCCAGAGGTTAGAGGCTTCAAAAGGGCTCTGTCCCGGGTCAGGGCACTTATGAAGATGCATCAGATTTTGATTATGGACTGTGCTGGTACCCATGGTTGCAGAAACCTCAAATACAATCATTAAGATTTAGGATCCAATAGAAAAAGATCCTTTGGCTGAGACTGAAAACTGAGCTGGGGTCTCAGCCCTGACAGAGTTTGGTGTAAAACAAATACCTCAGAGAGGACAGTCCCCACTCCTTCTTTCAGACTGGGATCTTCCAGCTTGACTGACATGTAAGACTGTGATACAGGAAGTTTCCAGCCCTTTGGATGAAGATGCTACAGTGGAGGCAGGACATTGAGTATAGCATACAATCACTTATCAGGAAGTGCAATGGTGTGCAATCTTTCCTAAAAAATGAATTGAGTTCTAACTGGAAATCCCGTTATTAAAGTAGGCTGACTGTGAAATACAGTGGGAAAAGTAAATGACTTTCTTTTTGTCCAGGCTCAGTGAGTGAATAGAATAACACCTTTTTCTCAAAGATCCAAGTCTGTTTAGATTGGTTAAAAAAGAATAAACACAGGTGTAGCTGGGGGTATAGCTTAAGGGACAGGGTGCCTTCCTAGTATGCCCAAGGTCCTGATTTCAAACTCAGTACTGCCAAAAAGGAAGGAAGGAATGAAGAAGAAAGAAAGAAAGAGAGAGATAAAGAAAGAAAGAGAGAAAGAGAAAGGATAAAAATAAATAATAATAAGTAAAATAAAAATCAGGTACATGAGAGAAGAAAAGAGAGTATGTTTGTTTGTTTGTTTTGGGGGGGTCCGGCCATGGGGCCTGAACTCTGGGCCTGGGCGCTGTCCCTCAGCTCTTCAGCTCAAGGCTAGTGCTCTACCACTTGAGCCACAGCGCCACTTCCGGTTTTTTCTTTTTTGCTTATGTGGTGCTGAGGAATTGAACCCAGGGCCTCATGCATGCAAGGCAAGCACTCTACCACTGAGCCACCTTCCCAGCCCCTAAAGTATGTTTATGATACTTTGTAGGAAGCTCTCCTGTGAGGGACCATGGTATCCTTAATGACTTCACTAAATGCACAGTACTGAATGTAAGTTTGTCTGGTCTGAAATATTAGGCAGGAGTGGGAGGAAGGCCACAAGTTTATGAAGAACCAATAAAAAAGATGTGACTGCTCAAGTAACATGGCATCCATTACAAGAAAGAGGAGAGCCCCCTGTATTCTATCCTTGGCACATATCAGTAGCCCTGATTCTCCTAGGATCATGAGAGGGTAATCTGATTGAGGAGATAATAGATTTCCAAGCAGAACAAGAGAGTAGGTGCTAGAAACCAAAGACTTGTGCTTGTATCATTGCTTTGACCTTTATTAGCTAATGTTTCTCTCTCTCTGTTTCTCTCTCTCTCTCTCTCTCTGTTTCTCTCTCTCTCTCTCTGTTTCTCTCTCTCTCTCTCATCAGTCATGGGACTTGCGCTCATAGGCTGAGGTGCTATCCCGGAGCTCTTTTGCTCAAGCTCCACTTATGGATTTTGAATGGTTAATTGGATATAAGAGTCTCACGGGACTTTTCTTCCCTGGCTGCCTTTGAACTGCAATCCTCAGATCTCAGCCTCCTGAGTAGCTAGTTGTAGGTCACTGGTACCAGGGCATTAACTGGGGTCTTCTGAAATTTCCTTTTCCCCACTCACTAAGCCCTTCAGATGATACCTGCTTTACAAAATGGTTGGGAGAACCCATGATAATGTATGTACGACTTCTAACTGAGTACTTGCCTGTTATTAATATGCCATTCTATGGCTGATGGAGCTTGGTAGAGGATACTTGGGGAGTGTTCACTGGAGGGAATGAGGCATTGTCCGATTACAGCAGAAGTGCTGTCATTGGGCACACAACACTTCATGATTATCACATAGAGTCAGGACCATTCGTAGAAGACGCAGGAAAGCAAACTTCAGCTAATTTGGCCATATGATCAGAGAGACTTCTACCTTACATAGGAAGAGTTAAGCAGGCTGGGAAACTGCCAAGGGGGAGAGGATGGTGCTTTGGGTTAAGGAGTAGGTGTAGCAGCTAGGACCCAGATAAATTCTGAGGACTATTATTACAAATACCCAATGCCTTCCTTTTTGTTTCCTTTTTATGGTGCTGAAAATTGAACTTAGAATCTCACCCATGCTAGGCAAACACTCTACTACTTGAGTCAGGCATACAAACCTCATATTTTATTTCTGAGTTAAGGTCTCATTAACTTTGTTCTGACTGTATGTACTGCCACACTTCTTGGTCCATTTGGAGCCAGTTTGAGGTGTGGCAAAATGCCCTCACAGGACCATTTCCCGACATGCAACTTTCTAAGCCTTCACCTCATGATGCTGCCTTTCGCCCTGACACTCCTTCAACCATTACTACCAGGAACTGTGTTAAATCCCAACACATGTAATATTATGTCCAATCTTCTCAATGATCTGACAAAATGGCAGATGCTGCCATTCATCCCCCTTTGTCAAAAGGACTCTGCAACTTAGAGAAGTTGCTCAAGGTTACTGCCTGGCTTCCAAACAGGGGGATAGAATAGGAATGCAGGTTTTTAAGCCACTCTTGGTGATGCCTACTTGAAATCCTAGTGTTTGGGGAGAGGATTTTATGTTTGAGATCAGTCTGGGCTGCATAACATAACAAAATTCTGGATGAATGAATAAAAGAATAGATAGATAGATAGATAGATAGATAGATAGATAGATAGATAGATAGATAGACAGACAGACAGACAGACAGACAGACAGATAGATCTGTGAGGTTCTAGAATACACTTATTTTGTTGCAGAGCTTCAGCTAAGGGCCTGGACGCTGTTCCTTAGCTCTTTTTGCTCAAGTGCTCTACCACTTTAAGCCACAGCCTCACTTCTGGTTTTCTGGTGGCTAAATGGAGATAAGAGTCTCACGGACTTTCTGCCTGGGTTGGCTTTGAACTGTGATCCTCAGATCTCAGCCTCCTGAGTAGTTAGGATTACAGGCGTGAGCCACCAGTGCCTGGCTTAGAATCCACTTTCTTAACTACTGGTGTCACCACTCCCAGGACAGCTGATTGATCCTCAGGAGCCACTGGCTCTCTGGATGACTAGATCCCACTTAGCCTCCCCTAAACTCTTGGCTCCTTTATTAGGCTCCCAAGTGGTTTACCTTGTGGAATTTCACACACTGATACTCTTGTTTTTAGTTCAGAATGAGTTATTTTCCTTGATGCCAAACGTTCTGCTTCCTCTGGCAGTGGGCAGGTCTGTTGGATTACAAGCATATCTCTCCCCATCTTTGGGCCTCTGTGACTTCCTCAGTCTGTGACTAAAGGAAGGATTGGACCAGAAGATCTCTGAGACCTTTAAGGGGAATCTGTCACTTTCTGAGCTGATGAAATCTCTCTGTATCCTGCTAGAAAAGCCCTGAACTGATTCTTATCTGCTCTCTCAAGAGCAAAGGACTAACTTATAACTTAGATGTTTTGCCTTACACTCAGAGATGGAAAAGGCATTTTCCAAAATAAGTACTGAATAAAGGAACATGAAGCCAGCTCTATGCACGTGCTTGAAATCACAGATTTAGACCCCTTTTTCCACCTGTGATGGAAGGGCTCCTAAATACAGCAGTAGAGTGAACTAGAGCCATGCAGAGATACCATTATAGAGCTATCTGGGGGCTGGGAATGTAGCTTAGTGGTAGAGTGCTTGCCTAGCATGCACAAAGCTCTGGGTTCAATTCCTTAGTACCACATAAGCAGAAAAAGCTGGAAGTGGCGCTGTGACTAAAGTGGTAGAGTGCTAACCTTGAGCACAGAGAGGCTCAGGGACAGAACCCAGGCCCTGAGTTCAAGGCCCAGGACTGGCAACAACAACAACAATAACATAATAATAATAGTAATGATAGCACTATCTGGGTGGGTACTATGGCATGGAGGCATGATGGCAGACAGCAGGAAGGCATAGCTAAATCAGTTATGAGTCTGGGTTCTGTCTTGGGGCATCTGTCCTGGCTTAAGAGAATATGTGGCTTCTGTCACCCCACAGAGTGATGATATCACAAAAGTGTCCCAAGCTGCTAAAATTGTGGAGCGCATGGTCAACCAGAATACATATGATGATGTTGCTCAAGGTAAGATCAATGACCCCACAGATGCAAAAAATATATATAAAGTAGGAAAAAGAATCCCTTCCTCTTCTGGATGTCAGTGAAGAGACGAGATTGATGCAAGGTAACCATGAACAATGCCATAAGGGGCAATATGTATAGTGATGTGATCTTACCGTGGTGTAGCACAGAAACACCTTCCCATAATGATCTAATATCATCTTCCCAATGGCTCTGGGAAGCAGGTAGAGTGAAGATGATTACTGACTTTGCTTTCAAGACAATGAAGGCCAAGGCCACCTGGCTAGTTAGTGGCAAAGAGGACTTGAACCTAGATCTTCAGCTTCCTCATTCTGTGTTGTCTTCACCACCCAGATTTCTTAGGGTTACTATGATGCTAAAATGTAAGGATAGAAACTGCTCTGGGGATCTCCCAAGAAAAGAAGAGGGCAAATAAGGGATGAGTAGAGGCTGACAAGGAAGGCTTCAGGAAGGTTGAGCTAGATGCTATGGGATAAGCAGCATCTGAGTGGGAGGATAGCAGAAGGGAGAATGTTCTGGACAGAAGATGGCACAAGCAGGGACTTGGCAGTGAGAATGAGTATGAATAGACCCTGGGGACAAAGGACAGCAGGCTAATTGACCCTAACAGGAGCTGTTGGAAAGCTGAAAGTTAAGGGGCAGTTGGAGCCAGTTTATTAAGCGTCTTGAATACCACAAGGACACAGCCCAGTGAGAGCGGACCAGGAGGAAGATGTGATTGTGGAGAATACAGGGACAGAGGTGAAGGAATGGTATGGAATGGGCCCTACCATATCAGACCAGCTTTCATTGTAAGGGGTAGAGAAAAAGGAGAGCAAGTGTTCACTGGGAATGGCCTATATGTTGGGCATTGTGTGGTTCATTTTACACATTTTTTTTGGCTGACAGCTACCATTATTATCTCTTTTTTATTTTTGAGACAAGGTCTCACTTTGTAGTCCTAGGCTGGCCTTAAACTCTTGATTCTCCTGTTTAGCCTCCTAGTACACTCAACTACTATTATGCTGGGCAAAAATAGTCTGACATATTCAGCTGTTTGTTATGTGTTGTTTATGTTGTGGGTTTTTTCCTCTTTTTTATGCTGGAGATTGAACCTCACTTAGTCAAGCACTTTACCACCGAGCTATCTCCTCAACCCATTATCTAATTTTATAGATGAAAAACTCAGGCTGGGATGTTGCCATTTGTTCAGAATTATAGCTAGTGGGGGATGTGAGTGGTAAAAACCAGAACTTGAGCACAGGCCCCTTGGATCCATTGCCTAAAAACTTTACCATTAGGCTACAGAACCACTGAACAGGGAGGAGACATTTCAAATACACACATTCAATAGATCTATCCTGGTGATTAATTAGTGATGAAGCAAAGAAAGGGATTGATTCAGAAACACTTAAATCCTGGGAGCCTGGGAAATTCTGGTGTCTTTGACAGTGCCAGGGAAATGGAATCCTTCCCATGGCATGAACAGCACATTCCCAAGTGGCTTGTATTTCCTTGAGAGGTTGTGCATTTATTTGGAGCAGCTGCCTCCCCAGAGTTGGCAACTCCTTGCTTCTGGCTGGTCTCCTTTGCTGACAGCCTAGGGCTCGTCTTGGTGACTTGATGCTCATTGCTCACCCAGGGGACATAGAAACTAAGGCTGCCAAGACCAGCAGCCTAAACAAGCCCCCTAGTTATCATTCAGGCTGGAAAACGACCTTGAGTGCTTTTCAAAGCTGTCAAAGTACAGAGCAGCTGTGAATGAATTTGTCACTCACACAGCTTGGCTTCCTGAAACCCAGTCTGTACAAGTGGCCCACCAAAGAGCTGCAAACCTGATTAATATCCATGGAGAAATTGGCCTTGTGAACCACTTTCATTTATAAGACCACAGTCACATAAAAATGCATTGAACTTTGATTTCTTTGAATTGTATAGTATTTTCCCTTTGGGAAAGTGTAATCATGAAGAAGTGAAAATAGAATAGAGAAGTGTTACCAATTAATCTCCTCTTTGAAATGAAGTATTTTTTAAAGATACCCAAGCTCAGGACTCTCTGATCTGATCAAGGCTGACACCTTTCTGGCCACTCTAATTTTTTTTTTTCCATTGTGAATGTAGTACCACAGTGTGGGGGGGGGGGCAGGGGAGAGGTGTATTGTGAGAATGGCTGGAGCAAGCCTGAGCATGTCCTTGGCCCTGCTGGATGAGAGAGTTCATTCTCTAATTGGTCCCATTGTTACTTTATTTCTTATATTTGTTGTGTGGCTATCCCTGTGCTATGTGACCCTGAGACGAATATAACATGATTCCTGCTGTGAAATGGGAAAGACAGGCCTAAGGCCAGTGTAATGGAGAGGAGAGGCAAGGTTGGAACAGAGAAGAGAAATTAACTGTACTCAAAACAAGTAGGTGAGGTGGTACATGAGTATAGTCCCAGCTACTTGGGAGGCTGAGGTAGGAGGAAGCTTTAAACCCAAGCGTTCAAGACCATGCTGGGAATGTAGCTTAGTAGCAGAGTGCTTGTTTAGCATACATGAAGCCCTAGGTTCAATTCTTCAGTACCACATAAACAGAAAAAGGCAGCAGTAATACCGTGGCTCAAGCCTCGAGCAAAAGAAGCTCATGGACAGTGCCTAGGCCCTGAGTTCAAGCCCCAGGACTGGCCAAAAAAGAGAGCTCATTTCAAAAAAAAAAAAAAGGACAAACGAACAAGAGCTAGTGCCTTACACCTGCAATCCTAGCTACTCAAGAGGCTGAGATCTGATTATTATGGCTTGAAGCCTGCCCAGACAGGACAGTTTGTGAGACATTTATCTCCAATTAACCACCAAAAAGCCATAAGTGGAACTGTGACTCAAGTGGTAGACTGCCAGCCTTGAGCAAAAAAGCTAAGGGACAGTGCCCCTGTTTTGTGTTAAAGTTCTGTTACAAGGGCATGTGCATGCGCACACACATGCACGCACACGTGCATGCACACAAAAGAAGAAAAAAGACAAGGAAGATGTTACAGAGGAGGAAGAGCTTAATCTGGGTAGAAGTAGATTAAGAGTCTGTCATGAACATGACATTTTAGTCATGGAAAGTCATGTAGAAACACACTGATACCTGACACAATTTGATTCATGAATACAGACTACTTGGTACAGATCACATGTGAACAGATGGCTCAAAATGATGTAGACCTAGTGACTAAGGAGTCCCTGTGCAAGGAGAGCCATTGAGAGGTCTCACTGTGGTGAGAGGGTGATGTAGTGAAGAGGTTGTTTGCTCTCACTCATCTGGTTGATTTGAAACATGATCTGCAGGTTGGCTCACAGAGTGAGGGAGACCAGTTAGAGGATGTGTGTACTAACCAAGTGATAGATCATTGAAACCTGAACATAGGTAGTGGCTGTGGGTTTGGACAGAAATGAATGGATTAAAAAGATAGGAGGAAAATATGAGACATACTAGAAAAAAATCAGTCAAAGCTTACCCAGGTTGCTGGTTAGACAGGTGGAAAGATGGAGCTTCTTCCTTGCTTGGAGAAAATGGGAAGAGACAGTTTTGAGGACAGATGAAGATTCTGGGAGATCCATGGGGATCCAGGTAGCTTTATTATAGTGAGGGTTGGCAATGACTATGAAGTGGGGCTGCCTTTTAGGGATTTGGGAAGCAGAATTAAAAGAAGTATTAATCAGTCTCTGGCAGCTGAGCCCTTGAAATCTGGTCACTCCAATCTGAACCTTCTGAAGGGCAGAAAGAAATTCATGAGGATAAGTACTGAAACCAACCTGGGATTCTATACATGCACACAAAGCTGCTTTATTGTAATTTGCCCAGTAACAATGATGGTAACAGTTGGTAACAGACTGAGGGAACTCACTGTGTACCAAGCATTTTTCTAAGCACTTTGCATGTGTTAACTGAAAATATATTTTCACAAGTCTTTTGAGATAGGTGCTCTTTTTCCCACTCCCAAATACAGAAAGGTTTGTTGTATTGTCCAAGAAGAGACAAGCGTTCGACCTTGGTTTGCTGCAAAATGGCAGTCTGAGATCTGATTCTGCTTATTCATGTTTAAGATTTTAAGTACTATGAGGATGCTGCTGACGAATACCGAGACCAGGAGGGTACGCTACTGCCACTCTGGAAGTTCCAAAATGACAAAGCCAAGCGCCTGGCTGTTACCGCCCTCTGCTGGTGAGTACAGGCATTGCGGCAATCCTAGAGCCATCCCTGGGTATCTGTGGCATGTACCTGGTGCCAAGCCCTGAGCTACCCTTTTTATTGCACTTAACCACATTGATTGTGAAATGTGGTACTATGGAAGTCCAGAATGGGGATTCTTATTAGACTGCAGGATCACTCAGGGTTTCCCAGGTGGTAAGGGTCAAGGCTGGAAAGTAGATGTCCGCAGTGTATTTAGGCATCAGTGGCCCTGGGAAAGATCATTAACTATGTAAGAGCTACAAGGTCTACTTTGTGTGCCAATAGATTCACATTTCTTTTGCAGGAATCCAAAGTACAATGATCTGTTTGCAGTGGGACACGGCTCCTGTAAGTGATCTAGATATTCATTCATTTGTTCATGTAAAAAAAAAACACTAGGTTCCTACTCTGTTCAGAGTTCCTTCCCATGTGTGAGAAACAGAACACAATCACAATCTGATAGTGAAGATCTACAATTATATGGGCATTTAGTGCTGGGTTTAAGAATTCATCAAGCTGAATATGTCCTCTGGGTCTCAGAGAAAGAGAGGGAGATCATCCTAGCAGAGAAGCCAATGTGGGCTAAGTCTAGAAGCATGCGGGATGGCAAGAAATAAAGCTGTTCAGGGGGCTTGAGTCAGCCCTTAAAAGACTTGTTAAGCCATTCCAACAAAACTCTTCAAGGAAAACCATTGAAGAAACTCCAGAAGGACAAGGAGGCCTATGTAAGGAGGAATTGTAGGCTTCAGATTGGAGGCTGGGAGACGTGAGAGAGAGGTAGGACACAGGAGAATTAGATCGAGGCCCTCTCCTCCTCCTCTACTTCCTCCTCACCAGGCCCTGGAGCAGAATGGAGGTGAGGGTGAGTTGGGGAGAGTTTTTGAAGCTCTGAAGACTCCCTATCAAGAATCCAGACAAGATAGGGAGGTAGCCCATGGTGGTAACTGTGACTGGACTATTTGCTTTTCAAAATGTTACTTGGCTCAAGTAAAAGCCCCTACTGCTGTACGGGCCTGGACATTCCCTCTTCCTAACGGGAGAGGGCCCTGCGTTCAGGCTCCCCACGTTCAGGCGTACTTCTCTAATGCTAACAACTTGTTCTCTGGCTAGGAGGATCAGCTTCTGCAAACAGAAAAACCTCTCCATTCTCCAAGCTGCTGCTGGCTGGCAGGCATACAAGCTCCTGGTCGCTGCCCCTTAGATCGTCTGTCCGCCCATTTTTTGACCAGGATAGGGGGAGGAGGTGTTTGCAGGGGTTGAAGGGAGGAGTTGGTGTTTGTCATTCCTCTCAGGGAGGAGAACCTTGGAGCTGCTCCCAGTCTTGTGGTCTGGGCTGCCTTTGAGGATGCCCTAAATGCCTGCTTTGTGTCCCTACTCCTGAGGGTGGGCTGCTGCCAAATGGGAAGCGCCCTCCCCCTCTGGCAAGGAACTAGAACATTCCTCCCCCTCTGCTGCAGCTACTGGGCCTGGAACAGGGCCTGGGGCTTGGGCGGGCCCTCCCAGGAGTGGGTGTGGAGCCCCCTGTGAGAATGCTCCAGGCCCAGGCTGTCTGCCCAAGACTGAGGTGTGTGGGGTTGGGGGTGAGGAGGGGGTGAGTGTTCCCCAGAAGATGGGAGGAGAAAATGTTAGTTCTAGCCTCCTCAACCTCCACCCATGTTTAGAAGTAGTGTCAGCTGGTTGGGGTCATGGGAAGCTATCCATGGAAAACAAACTTGGTCAGGAACTATAGAGAAGGGTAACTCACCTCCCACAAATACATGACCTCAAGCTGACAGACCTAGTGGCCTCCTTTGCTTAGGTACTGACCCAGGAAAGGTCTCTGCCCTCCCTTGGTCTTTTTAGCGGCAGCGTGTACCTGAGTGGTCCCCACAGGCAGCTATGGACTTTCCCCTGGAGAACTGGTTCTCAGGAATGTACTCCTGAGACTTAGTCTCCTCATGGGTGACACATAGAGCTGACAAACTGCCAGGCCTCCATCCCAATGCCACTGTGAGGCACACAGAGAAAAGAAGTTAACGTGTCCTGCCAGCCATAAGAACCACTTATTCATGAAAGTGGGTCATTGTTGATCTGTCTGTTGTTCTTCCCCCTGGCTTTCCTGAAGCACCTTTGGGAGACTGCAGCAGAATAGGGAAGCTGAGGAATCTCTCTTAGGTGGTAGGATTCAGTGTCAGTGGCTGTGATATTTGCAGTGGTTGGCAGTAGCTCAGGAGTTGCTGGCCAGCTTTCAGATGAGCTTGATGGCAGCTTTCATCTATTACAGAGTCGTGCATCTTTTAGTACCACCAGCAAAGGCCTGAACAGCCAGTGTGGGCTTAGAAAGGCTCTGAAAGGCTCCTGAATCTATTCCTGAAGTCACTCCTGGGAGGCCCACACTCCTGGGTGTCTTCATGGAAGAAACAGTGCACAGCGGAGGCAGGCAGAGGGCACCCTAGTTGCCAGATGGGGTCACTGTACGGAGTAGCTGAGCTCACCAGCTTCTATCAGTCTTTGGAAGCTCACAAATATCAATCTCCCATAAAAAAGATTTTGCCTTGTGTAGACAAACACTGGGTTTATTGCTGGGTTTGACCCTTGTAAGCTCAGTCTAGACCTCATAAACCTCCTTTTGCCTGGAATTCCCAGATGTTTATTCTGTGACCCAGCTACATAAAACTTTGATAATGGGATTAGGCATGTACTGTAGGGAAGACCAGGCCTAGATCCCATCATGGGGTGGGAAAGGTTGCCTGGAGTCAGGTCAGGACCAAGCAGGTAGAGAAAAGGGAGTCCAGCTAACTTCCTACAGCATCACAGAAGCATCCACACCTGCCTCCCTTCTAGAGTGGCTGGTTACCAGTACGTTAGACTAGTTAAAGGCAGAGATAGAGCTGGGCATCAGTGGCTTGTGTCTGTAATCCTAGCTGCTCTGGAGGCTGAGGTCTGAGGATTGAAGTTCTAAGCCAACCACAGGCAGGAAAGTCCATGAGATTCCTATCTCCAATTAACCACCCAAAAGCTAGAAGTGGAGCTGTGGCTCAAGTGGTAGACTGTTACCTTGAGCAAAAGAAGTTCAGGGACAGCACCCAGGCCCGGAGTTCAAGCCTTAGGACTAACACACACACACACACACACACACACACACACACACACACACACACACACGCAGGGACAGTGATGTTCCCTAGGGCCAGGCTCCTTATGGAGAAAGAGGCTATAAGCAGGTAAAAGCAGGTAGAGGAATGTTGGAAGACAAAAGGCAACGAGTCCAAAAAGAGATGGCTGGGATGCAGTTATCTCAGCCTACTACACCAAAGGAGTCCTTTCCAGCTCATTAGCCAGTTCATAGCAGAGAAATGGGTATTCTCCATGGTCTGCCAGGCAGGCATGGTGGAACACATCATAGAAACTCTGTGAGTTCCTGAGGTTGTCATACAAGAGATGGGACAAGAACTTGTCAGCAGGTCAAATATGGGAAGAACAGGAAGAGCCAGTTGTGCCTCAGTCTAGCCCCTCTCTAGGGGCCACACGCTCAAAAGGAATCCATGCAGACCCTAACCCCCAGCACTAAATCTGTTCTGTCTCACCATAGGAGCTTGCCCGGGCCAGAGATGCACTCATAGGGATTTAAATCTTTCCTGATCATTTATTTGTCAGCTTCACTAATTAAGCAGTGTTAATTTCATTTACTGAAAATGGAAATTCATCCACCTCATTTCTCCCTGCTCATCCTCCACACACAAAATCCATCACTCCTCGGCTGCAGGCTGCGTAAAATTTACAGGACTAATTATGTTGTCAGGTCTCTTTGTAAATACAGTCCATAAAGGCCACGGTGCTTGCTGGGTTGTAGTGCAAGGACATTCCCGTTGTTAGTTTAATTACTGGCTAGTTATTTAGGTTCCCAAATGTTTGCCTCATTTTTCCCTAAATCAAATTAAATGTCCCCTTGATGTATTTTGTCTGCGAGGCCTTGTTCGTGCTTTCTATACTGCTTAAATAAGACTTCTAATCCAACAAGAGGGCCTGGAAAAGCCTGGGAGCCCGAGCCCGGCTTGGCTGCAGAGCCTCTGGGCCATGTTTGAGGTTTGGAACCCTCTAGTGACTCATGACCCTTTTCATGACCAGCCTTGGGCTCTGTCCTTTGCCTCTGGAGACTGTGAAAATCCCTACACAGAGGGTATCTCTGTTCTTGGAGTCCAAAGTGGCAGGCTAGGGTATGGGAAACAGGGAGCATTCATTATTATCATCAGAAATGTTGAATATTGTTACATTCATCCCCCTGATTTCTAGAATGGCTTCTGAATTATCCCCCCAAAAGCTGCCATCTCTGACTTCTGAAACTAGAGTTTGGGTCAGCCTTTCCTGAACGCCTCTAATATTCATTTCTTTGTTGTTGCTGTTGTTGTTGTTTTGTTTTTTATTGTGAAAATACCGTACAGAGGGGTTACAATTACATGGGCAAGATAATGAGTACAATTCTTATCAAGCATTGTTGCCTCCTTCTTGTTTCTGCTCGGACCAAATGACCACAACATAATGGCTTAAACAATGAAATTCTTATCTTACAGTTCTGGGGGTAAGAAGTTCAAAGTGGGCTTCACAGAGCTAAAATCAGGTCTGGAGTCTGCAGGGAGCACCTGTTTCCTTTTTTCCCCCCAGCTTCTCGAGACTGCCTGCATTCCACGGCTAGTGGCCCTCTTCCAGCCAGCAATGGCATCATTCTGACATCTGCTTTTGTCGTCACATCTCATCCTCTGACTCCTCTGCCTCCCTCGTTCCCTTATAAGAACCCTTGTGATTACATTAAATCCACCCAGATAATCCAGGATAATCTCCCCGTCTCAAGATCTTCAACTTAATCACATCTGCAAAGTCTCTTTTGCCGTGCGAAGTGACATATTTATAGGACTGGGGATTAGGATGTGGACATTTGGGGGGGAGGACATTATTCTGCCTACCGAACATTGCCTCCAAGTACCTCTTGTATGACTAAATAAGGGAGTCATCAAGCAGCTGCTGCCTTGGAGCCAGTCCAGGGCTGGCCTCGTTTAGGATGCCACTGTACAAGAGGACCTACTGGCTGGCATGGGATCCTTGTCTTTGCAGTTTGGCATCTACCTCTTACTGATCACTGACCTGGATTTAGCCCCATGCCCCAACATGCCCTCTACTTGCTTCACTCTCTCTTGAGTCCTGAATAGAAGCCGAGGGTTCTCCTGACAGCCAGAATGTTCTAGAGTGGGCCTCCATGATCTACAGCTGTTATCTACTGGGCAACAGGGTAAAATGAAGGCTGCTCTTTTACCAAAAAAAACGAGCAAGCCAGATATGTTCCCTCTGTTCTTCATGGAAGGCCAAGAAAAGACCTGCTTCCAGTTCCTCATAATCTGGTGATTACTGGACTCTATAGCTTTTCTTTGATTGCTTAGGAAGTTTGTGGTGTTCTAACTAAGCATCCCAGGGACCAAGAGCCAAGGCTCTGCAAGCCTTGAGTCTGGTGGGATTCTACATTGAGAGCTGAAACACGGTGGATGGCTTGGGTGAGGATGTTCCATGTCACTGCTGGTACTTCTGGTGACTGGTTGGTGATGTTGTACTGGGAATGTTGGATGGCTAAGCAATGATATCATTAGACTGCTGGTGCCCTGGTTGGTGATATCATATTAAGGATGTTGGAGGATTGGGCAGTGATGTCACTGAATGATGATATCACATGAAGACCATTAGTAGTTTGTATAATGATATCATTTAAGTGAGGGCTTTTAGAAGATAAGATAATGATATGTTGGGACAGTTAGGCTATGATGTCACACTGGAAAATAGAATAGTGAGGTCTCAGAGAGATGGCACTAGAGTCAGGGATGAGGAGTCCACAGTATAAGATATAGTCAAAAGGTTGGTGGAATGGCTCAAGTGGTAGAGCATCTGCCTAGCAAGTGGGAGGCTCTGAGTTCAAACTCACCCTCTCCCCCCACAAAAAGAGTCCAACTGAGAGGAAATACCAGTTAAATACTTTCCTAGTATGGTTTGGCAGGAAAATCCCTGAATTAGAATTCCTGAAACATGTAATCTAGCCAGGATTAGGGACTAGCTTCCTGCCAAGAACCACTAATGTGAGGTTGAGAGTAGAGCTTGGGTATGGCCCGGGAGTTTGTATGACTGGTGGCCCTGTGTCCCTCTCTCCTGAAATCCCTGCTTTATTCCTTTTTTTTTTTTTTTATTGGTTGGTTGTGGGGCTTGCACCCAGCGCCTGGGTCCTGTCCCTGAGCTCTTTTGCTCAAGGTTAGTGCTCTACCACTTGGAGCCACAGCTCTACTTCTGATTTTCTGGTAGTTAATTGAAGATTAGTCTCATAGCCTTTCTTGCCCAGTCTGGATCATCAGATCTCAGCCTCCTGAGTATCTAGGATTATAAGCAGGAGCCACCAGTGCCTGGCTATCCCTGCTTTATTCTGCACAGTTACTCCCTTTAATCTTGCTTGACTGCCCTCCCTGTCCCTTTTACATTCTATCTAGAACCTGGAGGGATTGGCTTGGCTTGGCCACTAACCACCACCCCATTAGATCTGGCCTCCTTCTCCTTTGTCCACCTCCAGCTAAAGTCCAGATTTCTTAAGCAGGATAATTTCAGCTATGAAAAAGGATATGGGTCATGGCAAATACTACGTGATATGTGTCATGTAGCTGAGCACACCATTACTTTCCTCTAGGCCTGTTTCCCCATTTATGAAATTAGGGTAATTCTAGCTTCTAGTCCCAGTGGTTCCATGAATGGGTCAAATATTCTCCAATGAGAGTTATTAAACCAGCTTATACCCTCCAACCTTCCTTCCCTGGCTCCATTGGTCATTGACACACATAAGCATGCATGTAGGGAGAAGTGGGTGCTAAGTGTTTCTCTAGAGAAATTAGGTCATCACTGCTGTCCCTCAAGGGTCCAGGCCCTGGTGCCTAGTAAAAACAGTTGTATGGGCTGTGCCCAATTTTGACTCCTAGTACAATAAAGATGGCATCTGAGTCCCTATATTGAGCCTTCACTCATTTACCCATTTCCTTGGCTGTCTACCTGCTCCTCCTCTGTTGGTTTTGACCAGCATCAAGGACAGAACAGAATCATGATCACCTCTGGCCTACTGGAGCATCTAGCAGTAGAGTGTCTTTGACATTGCAGGGGGCAGCTTAGATCAGATTCTCAGATTTTCTTGATAAACAAAAGGAGCTAAAGTGAGGGTCACATTGCCTATTTTAAGTGCTTTGTGTTCTGGGCAAAATAGATAATACTCTCAGCCAGCAGCAGATCTCTTCCTTAGAGAGTCTGATCCCCCTTGGGGCACATCCCAGCTCCATCCCCCTTTCTAGATCAAGGCTAGTCCTCAGCTGGCTTTTGAGATGGAGCCAGGCCCAGGGTGTTCCAGCTTTGGTTTCAGGGGATCTGGAGGGCCCCAAACTCCCCCTTTTTCCTTGGAGAGTCATTTTGTCTGGAGCAGAAGCATTTCCTTTCTGGACCACAGCATACCCTCTCCATAGCTCCAGCCTGACCCTGGAAACTTCCACCCTAGGTGCAGACCTTCCTTGCACGTGTGGCCTCCTTTGCAAGTAATCTGAGGAGGGCTTCCCCGGCAGTCTCAGAGCTGGTGAGGATTAGTTACAGTAAGGGAAAGCTGACTTCTTCAGAGATAGTTCTTCAGAGATAGTTGAGGCCATGAATTCAAACTTGGGTACCACCCAAAATAATACAGAATGACTCAACAAAATTAGCAAAGCTGGGGTTGTCTCCCTGTCTCTCCCACCCATGGTCTTCACCCCTCAAGACTGGCTACCTGGGGGGGGCAAGATTGGATGGGGGGGCAGGGGGAGAATGGGAAGGGGAAACAAAGGAGGAGGCTACAATGCTTGATAAGAAATGTACTCATTATCTTGCCCATGTAATTGTAACCCCTCTGTACAGTATTTTCACAATAAAAAAAAAAAGACTGGCTACCTGGTTATGAGGTGCCAGTCCCTGCAGTTGCCAGATAAAGAAAGGGGCCATGAACAGTACTAAGTGGAAAGGTCAAAAGGCTGCTTTGTCATGGGCTGCCCTAAATTAGTGATTAAAGTAGCTTCTGACTCCCCAGCTCTAGTTAGGGAAGAAGCTAGGAGGTCTCAGCCAGTGACAGACAACTGGTCTTGAGGCTAGGACTATATGCTGCTCCATGACTGCATATCAGAATCATTGTCTAGTGTGCAGAAAATGGAAGAAAGTAGGGAAAAGTAGGGAGGAGGACTTGTGCTGAGTTGATTTGTTGATCACCAAAATCTGAGGCAAGGCTGAGTGAGCCTGTGGAAGCCTGATTGGCTGGGGACTTGTGTCTCCCTGTGGAGAGTACCCAGAGCCAGAGCACAGGCTGTAACAGGGACTGTGAAGCCTGAGGGAATGAGATGATATTCATGGTGGCCAATTTGGGACTAACTATATAAAATAACATGTTAATTCAAAATTAGCTCTGGCTCTTAGATGAGAGATTAGGGGGATGTCGGCATTATTCGGGCATTTATGGGACAGAAACCTGCCCCCTGGCCTGGATATCTGTATCCCTTCTGAGGGTACTAAGAGAGAATTCCCAAGTCCACATACTTTTCCACTTAACAATTCTATGAGCCTGGTCTCTCTTTCCTGTGCCTCAGGGAGATTAAAGAGGATGACTGGCCCTTTATAGCCAGGTCACTTTTATTGGTTCTTGGATCCTTCCATGAGCCCTGAGGAGGGGCAGGCTAGATTTCATAGTTCCATATCCAAGTTAGAGAAGATGAATACCAGAGGAGTCCATGCACTCCAACAGCAGAGCAGGGCAAGGGTTTCCCATCTGGTGAGACAGTGGCTAGGGGACTTCCCTGGCAGAGCTGATGGATCCTCCAACCACAACTGCCCATCTTCCCTGGACAGATGACTTCATGAAGCAAAGCCGGGGCATGCTGCTCCTCTACAGCATGAAGAACCCCAGTTTTCCTGAATACATCTTCAGCAGTGAGAGCGGCATCATGTGTCTTGACATGCACGTGGACCATCCCTACCTGGTGGTAGTGGGCCACTATGATGGCAACGTGGCCATTTACAACCTCAAGAAACCCCACTCTCAGCCCTGCTTCCGAAGCACGGCAAAGTCGGGCAAGCACACGGACCCTGTGTGGCAGGTCAGCTTTGGACCAGGGACCTGGATGGGAGCAGCACCTGGGCCTAGGAACCACTGGAGGAGGGGCCATGGGAAGGAAAGAGATACAGGCAAGGCCGAGAAACTTGATGTGAGGACAGGGAGCTGGGGTCTGCCCCTGAACTCCCAGCAAGAGGCTTCCATTTGTCTGCCAAGGGTCTCCTAGATGGGGTAATCAGTAACTCAGAGGTCTCAGCTGAAAGCCTGCAGGGCCTCACAGACTGGTTGAGTATGTTAGGGAGTTCAGATCCTCATGGGGCTGTCAGCTGAAGCCTGGGCTAGATTTTGAAAAGCTCCTAGACAGATTTTCTGTTGTTTACCCTCTGAGTAAGGCTGCAGGGTCTGGTATGTAAAGTCTTTCCTGGAGCCTCTTGTAGCACCACTTTCTTCTCTAGACATACTGGAGGGATAGGTGGTGTCCCTGATGTATTATTGCCAGGACATTGAGGCTGAATTTCACCCTGACTCTGTCTCTCATCTTACTCCACTGGGAGTACAATTCATAGTCTCACTCTCAGAATTCTAGTTTTGGCCCGAGCTTTGCAAGCTCTTCTCATTGTGTCCCATAGGTTTCCTCCTCTGAAGTTTGCACCTAACCCCATAAACATATGTGGGAGAACCTAAGTTTGGATTTCTGCCTCAAGTTACCCAAAGTCTCTGGACTTATCAGGCAGCACTGGGCTCTGTTCTCTTATCTTTTGCTGCCCTGTGTTCCTGACAGCCTTCAGGCTCTGTACTCCGACTCTGCTGGCCCTGTGCTCCCAGAGATGTATGGATGCTGGCTCCAGGCTCTGGATCTGAGACAAGCCTGAGCAGAGGCAGGCACAGGAGACATGGAACTCTCCCAGCCTCATGCTTTATGTAGAGCCTTATGCTGAAAGGGAGGCAGCCCTACAGCCACACCCTTTCTCCTTAATTTCCACCAGGAGGAGAGGAGGTTGCATCTAAAAGTCTGCCTCCCATTCTGTTACCTCCAGTCACAGTCACGTGGCAATCTCCAGGCATGAGGAAGATGTCTACAGAGACTTTAAAGTCCAGGGAGAAGAGAAAGGGATCAATCAGATGGAAATAATGCTAATCCTTCCCCTACTTTCTAGCTCAGGTACCCAATGCTAAAACACTGATGACTCTCCAAACTCTCATCCAGGAGATGGGAGACACGTAGGCCATCCACCCTATTCCTACTCTACTGTGTTCTCTAGATCAAATAACAGATTGGTTGGCTGGAAAAAATGGACAGGAAAACATATTATCCTTTTCACTGTATAAGTTCCAGGAAGATCACAGCTCACCTGGGCAGGGGTTGCTTGTTCCCCCATTATCCTGCCAGGAAAAAAGGCTACCACCTTTGCAAAGCAGAAAAGTCAGGGTTCTTGACCAGAACCATAGCAGATGACCCATGGGGGACCTATGACTCATTCATCTACTCACTTCATATTCTTTTCCTTTCATTCCCTTCCTCCTCTCCTCATTCATCCATCAGCTATTCATTTATTCACTTGTCCATTCAGTAAGTCCTCCTCTGGCTGCTAAAGGATACTCCAGGGCGTAGTCTCTGGGGTTCTGGTGGGAAGATAACCACAGCCACAAGCTGACCAGTGCAGGGCAGAATGCTAAGTGCTAAAGTATAAGTACAAGAGTATGATGTCCACACACACACTGTCCTGAGTGGGGACTAGGGCCAGGGCAAGTCTTTCTAGAGAAAGCAACTGCTGAGCTGAATTGTGAGGATGAGTGTTAGTAAGCCAAAGGCGAACACAAAAGGGGGTCACGTGGACAGACACAGAGCTTCAAGCACAGTGACCTGCTGGAAACAACACATCACCATTCAGAGCACACATAAAGATGAGGAGAGGGCAGCAACACCTGAGGAAAGGGCTGGCACTGTTGAGTGTGCTTCGTCCAAGGGAAGAACCATGGGTAACGGAAGGCAGTGATTTCAAATGAAATATTAAATATAGAAGCACAATATATTTAACAAAAGATGAGTCTGGCATTGGTGGCTTATGCCCGTAATCCTAGCTACTCAGGAGGCCAATATCTGAGGATCACAGCTTGAAGCCAACCCCAGGGCAAGAAAGACTGTGAGACGCTTATTTCCAATTAACCACTAAAAACTGGAAGTGGAGCTGTGGCTCAAAGTGATAGAGCACTAGCTTTGCACACAAAAACACAGGGACAGCACCCAGGTCCAGAGTTCAAGCCCCATAACTACCACCAACAACAAAAAAGATGAGAGTGGCCCTGCTATGGAATCAGGATCCTGTTTGCGTAAGTGGTATCATTCTTCCCATCCCTTAAGGTATCTTCTCAAGGCTCCTAAGGATTCCTCTTGGGCATAGTCAGAAGATTGCTGCCCAGCTGAGTGCCAGTGGCTCAGGACTGTAATATTAGCTGCTCGGGAGGCTGAGATCTGAGGATCATGGTTCAAAGCCAGCCCAGGCAGGAAAGTCCATAAGACTCTTATCTCCAATTGACCACTGAAAACTGGAAGTGGCACTGTGGCTCAAGTGGTAGAGCACTTGCCTTGAGCTGAAGAGCTCAGGGACAGCACCCAGGCCCAGAGTTCAAACCCCACGACGGACCAAAAAAAAAAAATTGCTGCCCAGTCATTAGAGGGTAGAGGTATACAGTCATGCAAAGTCCTGGAAAGTGCTTCTGGTTACACCTTGAGAAAATCCAAAGAATAAGGAAGGACAACGCACTGGAGATGGGGATGTGGACTATGGATGCAGAGTTGTTGGGGCAGTCAAACTGATAGAAGGCAGGGATTGGTTGGATCTGGGGAAAGAGAAGAATCAATGATGCTGAGGTTTAGTGTGCCCACCAAGGCATCCGCAGATGTAGAAAGGCAGAAGGGAACAGGTTTGGCCAGAAGTGAATCTAAAAAGCCTGTGACACCCAGTGGGAGGCCTGGTCCAAGCAATTGGCTCTAAGAGCCTGGAGCTTGAAAGACAGACAGGCCGGTGAGTGAGATGCCAGAAACACCAGAGCCTAGGGCTTTTTTTTTTTTTTTCTTTGCTGGTCCTGGTGCTGTCTCTGAGCTTTTGTACTCAAAGCTAGCACTCTACCACCTGAGTCACAGCTCCACGTACAGATAAAAGAGTCCCATGGATTTTCCTGCCCAAGCTAGCTTTGAATCATGATCCTCAAATCTCAACCTCCTGAGTAGCTAGGATTATAGTCACAAGCCATGGGCACAGGCTTAGGTCTTTTTCTTTCTTTTTTTTTTAAGGGACTGTGTACAGAGTACTTTGAGGAGGTAGGAAAGGTGGTTTTGAACTTCAGTGCCAGGTGGGGGCAGAAAGTTTATTCCATTGGCAATGGGGAGCCAGAGAAGGTTTTAGAGCCAAGGACAGAAGTGTGTAAGAAGAGAAATGTCTCAGAAGAGTCGACTGCTTCCCTTGAGAGCCTTCCTGGGTGGCCTAGCCCTGCTTGGGCCTTACTATGAAGCCTTAACTAGCAACACTCTGGGCTGTGTATGAGTTATGCAGTTCTTCGGAAGGGAGAAGGAAGGATGAAAAACAGAGACTGGGGCCAGGCTGTTCTGCCCTAATCAGATAAGGCAGGAGAGGAAGAATCAATTAAGCAAGCTTCAGCTCCACATTCTATTATCTAGTCCTTGGGTTTCTACTCATTCCTTTCAGCCTAGTTACCACTCTGTCTCTTGCTTTATTCCTACCCTCTCACCTCTACTCCAGAAGCACGTGTGTGACACATGCACAGTCACTTGAAAATATACCCCTCCACCCCCCACTGGGCATCAGGCTGCTAAGTGGGGTGTGAAATACAATTTCCCTGAGTGCAGGGCATCTGCTCATTAAACACTTCCTTTTGCAGCTCCCTAGCGCCTCTTACAGCCTGGCTTTTGACACCCCTTGTCCCCTCCTCCCTTTAAAGGGACCACCATTGTACAGAAGAAGTAGTCTCAGTATCTGACTTGTGCCTTAAAGGCAGTGCAGCATTCTGACTCCCCCCCCCTCCTTCTGTTCCCCCTTCTACCATGAGAGCACAAAACAACCCATTATCCAAACAAGCCTAGGCAGGACTCAGCCCCCTTCCTCCAGCTCTGACCTTCCAGGCTTGGGTGGTAGTTGGAGAGAGGCAATGCTTTCTCCTCACCCCACAACAGCCATGGTGACAGCTGTGGTTATAGACGACAGCACTGGGTTCTTGGCCTCCCTCACTGGGCCTCTGTTTGTGACAGGGGGAGGGCACTGGACAGTGGTCCCAGCATGGGCGGTCTGGAAGGAGCCTCTGGATGGAAAGCTTTGGGCACCCAGCCCCACTCCATCTCTCTGGAACTTGGCGTGGCCAGGCCTCCACATCTGGCAACAGAAACTTGAGCCTCAAGCGTGTCATCTTCATAAGACAACAGCTCTGTCTCCAAAACACTTTCCCATATGTTTGCTTCCAGCCCTGAGAAGATGGGTGGGGCAGGATAATTAACCCTGATTTGCAGATGGAGAAATAAAACTTAAATCTGGGATTTGGGAGCAAAATTCTGGGAGCAGGAGCTAGTGTCCATGTTAAGGTTGGAAAAGAGGAGACACTTCCTAGAGAAAGGCCAGGCCTAGAAGAGGAGGGCAGGAGGTGGGGTGAGTTCCTCCCCTTCCTCGCCCACTCCCAAGCAAACAGGGAAAAGCCCTCTGCAGAAGCTTGGAGTTTGAAATCCTAGGGTGATGGTAATAATGAGGATATTAGCTATAGCATTAGTTATTGATTTATTTTTGAGACAGAATTTTGTTATGGAAGCCTGGGTGGCCTTGAATTTGGCATTCTCTCATGCCTCAGTTTCCCAAATGCTGGGATTAGAGATGTGGACCACCAGACTTTAGCCGCATTAGTTGGCATTTATTTAACACTTAATATGCAGTGCTCTAGCCTAAAGATTTTACATATAGTATCTCATATTTTTTTTTGCATTTTCCCACCCTTTCTCTCTATAGTGTCTCATTTATTTTCACAACAAGCCTATGCTATTATGACTTCCATTTTATAAGTGAAGGTACTGTTTGCAGGGCTGAGTCTATGAAAGTAACTTAGAACTCAGAAACCTAATTTTCCTGCAGCTAGGCATCTAGAACCCCACCCAAAATGGAATTAGGCACCTCCACTTCTGAACCAATACATTAGGGCAATGCTCTGACTGGCACAATTATCCTAGATTGGTCAGGAAGAGAGAGAGAGAGCTGGATGGGAGGAGGTGAGGGGGGCCAATTACAGGATTTCAGGAAATAGGCTCCCAGAACATGTTTCTGAGATTCATGTGGGTGCATGGGGAGCCTTGTTCAGAGCCCTTACACAAGCCCCAAGCAGAGTCCCAGAGCTTACTATGGGTTGGTATGTTACAGGTAAAATGGCAGAAGGATGACATGGACCACAACCTAAACTTCTTCTCTGTGTCGTCTGACGGTCGGATCGTGTCTTGGACACTAGTAAAGGTGCTTGCTTTTTAGAGAGTTGTGCAGATCGGTGGGGGGGGGGGGGGGGGGAAGGGGGGAGGTAGATGGGAGGAATGGATGAAGGATGAGGGAAAAGGAATCTTCCAGCCCTGCTGACCTAGCCCAACCCTCGTTCCTCTTTCTGCCTTCTCCCACTACAGAGTGAGCTGGTTCACACAGATGTCATCAAGCTGACGGTGGAAGGCAGCACGACAGAGATTCCTGAGGGACTGCAGTTACACACTGTGGGTAGGAACCCCATCCCTCTTACCTCCAGGCCTTAGCTGCACAGATCATCCTCAGAGTCAATAAGAGACCTCCCCTTCCCAGAACTCCCTCCCAGACATATGCTGGAGCCCAGACAGGAAGAGACAGGAAAAAGCCTGACTGTTAGTTGAGCCCTTGGCCATTTGCAAACCCTCTCCAGTTCCTCCCCCATTTGCAGACCCAGTTCTTGTTTATGCAGATCAGGTACTGTTATGCAGATCCATCCCTGTTTATGCAGATCTGGGCCCTGTTTACCCAGATCCAGTCCCTGTTTACTCAATTCCTACCTTGTTTATGCAGACCATATCCCTGTTTGCACAGACCACGTCCCCTGTTTGCAGACCCCATCCCTGTTTACCCTGACCCTGACCCTGTTTAACTCAATCCCTGCCTTGTTTACCCAGCCCCTCATTCCTGTCTGAAGAACCCCTGGCCGGTTGCAGAGTCCTGTCTGGGACAAGCATACCAGAGTGCCAATTTGCAATTTGCTTAGCCTTGTCCCAGCCCTCTCTGGGACCCTGTTCGTAGCTCGTTTTGTCACAGGCTGTTCCTGGCTCAGCTAGGATAGGGCAGACGGCTCCCTTGGAGAACTGGGCTGAGGCTACTCCCTCTTTTCCCAAGGCTGTGGCACTGCTTTCGACTTCCACCGAGAGATCGACTACATGTTCCTAGTAGGCACAGAGGAGGGGAAAATCTACAAGGTGAGGCAGTTCTGTCCCTGGCAGTTCTTTGCAGGGCTATATGGACGTGAGAACTTAGCCCAAGTTGTTGACAATACTCAACAAATTCTGTTCTGACACATCTCAGTGCTCATCAATTCTGGGAGAATTTCTTAAATCTGCTTGGGTGGCAGAAAGAGGGGCTACAGGAAAAGGCAATCTAGAGGGTGGCTTTCAGCCCAGTCCAGTCTCTTCTCCTCTGGGCTGTCCCTCCTTTCCTAGGGGTAGAAGCAGCTGGGAATGCGGATTGGGGGAATAGGAACATTCTAGGCAGACTCTGTGGTGGAAATCTGAACTCAGCTGGGCTTTGAAGGCCAGGTAACAAGCAGATTGATCTCTAATACCAGTGCATCCCCGCCGGCAGGACACAACCTCACCACCAGTGTCTGCAGTGTCTCAGAGTTAGTAGGTGAACATCCTCTGAACCTCCATCCATCCAGAAATAGCTCTGGCTGCAAGCTTTTCTTAGGCTCTGAGACTCAGAATGTTAATTACAGGCAGCCTCCCGGGAGCCCCTGAGGCCCAGCCAGAGCTGGTCTGAATGTAAAAAAGGTTCCCCCCCCTCTCTCTACCCCTTCCTGAGGCCTCCCCAGCGGGCTGGAGAGAATGTAGAGACTAGTCTGTCACTCTGTCTCCCATAGGGAGGGGGAGAGGCTCACTGGCTGGGCCAGAAACTGAATGGGAAATCTGGGCTTCAAGTTGCCTCTTGCCTGCACCAGGAAGGCAGGATGTCATCCATAAAGTGGTAGACCCAGCAGTCTTTCTATCCATAGGCCCTGGCCTGAAGAAATGATATGGCCTCACCTTTTCCAGGGCCTGCGACCAGCTCTGCCCTATTCTGATGGGCCTGGAATCCCAAGGCTCAGCCACTTTCCCTCTCTAGGAAAGCTCTGTGGTCAACCCTGACCACAACTCCTACATACCTCCCTCCTCTCTGGGGGAATAGAGTATGGGAAAAGCAGCCAGTAGCTTGGCACCAACTCAGTTGTGACAGTGAAGTGGGCTAGGGCAGAAAAGCAGGCTCAGGTTCAGATCCTTCAGGGCCTCCATGGAAGGGCGGCTGCTGACTCTCCTCTCCCACCTCCATCTTTGTACCAGTGCTCTAAAGCCTACTCCAGCCAATTCCTAGACACCTATGATGCCCACAACATGGCAGTGGATGCTGTGACCTGGAACCCATACCACAGCAAGGTCTTCATGTCCTGCAGTTCTGACTGGACAGTGAAGATCTGGGACCACACCATCAAGTGAGGAGCCTGCCCCCTCACCTGTGCTCTGGCACTGTGAGCCAGCCCTTGTGTCACAGGCTTCCCTCCTCCTCTACTGCAGGACCCCCATGTTCATCTATGACCTGAACTCAGCCGTGGGTGATGTGGCCTGGGCACCATACTCTTCCACTGTGTTTGCTGCAGTCACCACAGATGGGAAGGTGAGTGGCCCCTTCTTCCTCCCGCTAAGCTCCTACTAGAGAACTGGTAAGGGATCTCAGGTCAGTAAGGAACATGGGACCTAAGGACTTGTATTCTCAGAAGATGAGTCATTCATTGCAAGAGGCCTCAAGGAGGGAAAGGAGTGTTCGATTCAGTGGAGAAAGAACTCTGGGCGACGAGATGCCATCAAGTAGTTATCTTCTCTGAGGTCCCTGGAAAGAGAGGTAGATGGTAGCAGGGGCCAACTTGAGCTAAAGACAAGCTTATGAACCAGAATTGATCTGTTGCTGCAATAGTGTCTATCAGGTAGTGAGTTCTTCATCTCTGGAAGCACGTAAGCTGATTTTGAGAAAGGGTTTCTCACTGGCAAAATGGTAGAAGTAGTACAAGCTTAGAAATGAGAACATTCTTACAAACCTGTTCTCTTTATGGACTTTGATATAAATGGAAAAGCTTCTGCTGCCCCAAGGAAAAAATATAGTGATTAAGGCATCACCCTAAAGTCAGTCAGTCATCCATTCCCTAAATAGAAGCTTACTAAGGGCCAACTGTGATGCCCACTCAAAGCTAGGCCCTGGTGATTCAAGCTCTGTTCTTATGGGGCTTCTCTTATAGTGCGAAGGGCAAGACAAAAAGAAACATTAAAATTCCCATAGTGTTAAGAGGAGAGGATTTAAAAAGGGCAATGTGTGAATACAAATATTTATAGCAGCATTATTCGTAATAGCCAGAGAATGAAACAACTGTGTCCACCAACTGATGAATGGATAAGCATACTGAATTTACAAAGGTATTACTATTCAGTAAGGACAAGGGATGACATACCAATACATCCTACAACAATGGATGGTTCTTGAAAACTTTATGGTAAGTAAAATAAGCCCAACACAAAAGGACATACATTGTATGACTCGATCACACTTACATGATATATTCAAAATAGATTTGCCTCGAATCCTAGTATATGGTATGTTCAAGAGAGACAAATCCATAGAGATGGAAAGTAGATTTGTGTTGCACAGGCCTAAGTGGGTTGGGAGAAAATGGAGAGTGACTGCTAGTGGGTACAAAGTTTGTTTTGGAGTAATGAAAACATTCTAAAATTGGTGGTATTGATGGAATGAATATATGGAAAAACCCCAAAACTGTATACTTTAAATGGATGGCATTTATGTATAGTATGTGAATTACAACTTGATAAGAGTGTCATATTAAAACGAGGAGCTAGGCACTGATGCCTCAGGTCTGTAAGCCTACTTAGGAAGCAAAGATCTGAAGATTGTGGTTCAAAGCCAGCCCAAGCAGGAAAGTCTGTGAGACTTTTTATCTCCAATTAAACACCAATAAAACTGAAAGTGTAGCTGTGGTTCAAGTTGTAGAACACTAGCCTTGAGCACAAAAGGTCAGGGACAATGCCTAGGCCCTGAGCTCAAACCCTAGGTCTGACATCAAAAGAGATGGGAGGGACATAGTGGCTTACTCTTACAATCTCAGCAGTTGGGAGGCTAAGGCAGGAAGATTGAGAGTTGGAGGCTAAACTGAGCTACACAGTCCCAGTTTCAAGACAGAGAGACAGACAGAAAAGAAGTGGGTATTTCTTTTTCTTTTAGCATGGTCAGGAAAGGCTTGTTTGAAGAGGAGACATTCAGGCTGAGAGCTGAGTAACAAGGGGCTAGTCTTGGGAAGACCGAGTAGGGGACCGTCCACACTGAAGAAGAGTTGGTGCTAGCCTGAAGGGCTTCAGGAGCAGGAAGGAAATGTGGCTGCAGTGCTGTGAGCAAAGGGAGTAAGCATGAAAGTGAGGAGGAAACTCTGGGAGGATTTTTACTTTTTTTTTTTAAAGGAAGTCTGGCTATTGCCTGGGAATGGGTTGTAGGGGAAACAGAGAGACCAGGTAGGAGGCTGTCGTAGTTGTCAGGGCAAGAGTTGATAGAGGTTTAGACTTTTGAGTGTGGCAAAGATGACATCAAACATTTATTGAGTACTTACATGGCCACAGCAGTCTGAGCACTTTACTTCTATTAACCAGGACAAACATGGCTCTGCCAATTACTAATAAGTTAGCCTCAAAGACCTTCTAACTCATTTATAATATAGGGATAATAACAGAACCACCTACAGAGTGTAACTAGATGATGTAACTTTGCATTTGTATGTCCAGAATATACTACATGGCAATTTAGTCTAATCTACATTAGACTAGAAAAGTAGTAGCTGTTATTGTTGTTCATTCTGTATGCACTTAAAATTTCCCCTAATACTGGGTGCTGGTTGCCTATGCTTATAATTCTAGCTATGCAGGAGGCTGAGATCTGACGATTGTGGTTCAGGAAAGTCTGTGAGACTTTTTTTTTTTCTTCTCGGTCCTGGGGCTTGAACTCTGGGCCTGAACACTGTCCCTCAACTCTTCAGCTCAAGGTGAGCCCTCTACCACTTAAGCCAGAGCGCCATTTCTGCTTTTCTGGTGGTTCATTGGAGAGTCTTGAGGACTTTTCTGCCCTGGTGGGCTTTGAATCATGATTGTCAGATCTCAGCCTCCTGTGTAGCTAGGATTATAGGTGTGAGCCACCGGCGCTTGGCTGTGAGACTCTGATCTCCAATTAATCACCTCAAAAACCTAAAGTAGAGCTGTAGCTCAAATGGTAGAGTGCTAGGGGGGAAAATGCTAGGGGAGAGAGCCCAGACTCTTGAGGTCAAGCCCTAGGATTTGGACACATATTTAAAAAAAAATCTACTACACTTTTATTCTCACTCCTCAACCACAAGCAAAACATGAGCAGAGACACAAAATTTCTTCTCCCACTGCCTCCAGCTCTGGTTGCTAACCATTAGCCTGCTTTAGTATCCCCAGAGTTCAGGGAATTAGTTCTTCTGAGGTAGGCGACCTCAGAAGAGGTGTGATGACACCAACCTCTCCATAGGCTCATGTGTTTGACTTGGCCATCAACAAGTATGAAGCCATCTGCAACCAGCCCGTGGTGGCCAAAAAGAAGAATAAGATCACCCATGTGAAGTTCAACCCCATCTACCCTATCATCATTGTGGGTGATGACCGTGGGCATATCACCTGCCTCAAACTCTCACCTAACTTGCGCAAGATGCCAAAGGTATGGACTCTGCCACTAGAGAGAAGGGAGCTGGTGGGGATGAGAAAAGGGGGAGGAGCCCCAGGTTTCTGGCTTAGAGTATCCAAGATAAGGATGATATCACTGGCAGAATAAAGAGGCTAAGTGGAGAAGCAGGTTTGTGAGGAAACAGATCAGTTGGCATGCTGCATCTCCCTTAATTGTGGGGCCAGTGTGGAGGTACCCAGTCAGAAAGTAGGCCTAATCCTGGGGGTGTGTGTGTGAGGGCATCATTATCTTTGGGAGTGGAAGATGCTATGGGCATTACAGGTCACCCAGGTAGGAGAATGGAGGCTTAGCTAAGACTTCATTGCTGGGCTTACATGGTTTCAGCTTCAGTGGTCCCTGGGCTGGGAGCTTCAGGTCTATACAGGGAAGGAAAGAAATGAGCTGTGAAAAGAGAACTAGGTCAGCAGCTATGCAGTCCTTCTTTTGAACTCTAGTTTTTGTGGTCTCTGGCAGTTATGAGACCCTGCCCAGAGCCCAAGTGTTTCAAATAGACCACAGACATATCCATGATCTCAAAGTCTAGCCTTGAGTCCAAATTCAGACTTAAGAATCCAGACTTTAGGGCTGGGAATGTGTCTTAGTGGTAGAGTGTTTGCCTAGCAAGCATGAAGCCCTTGGTTCGATTCCTTAGTACCACATAAACAGAAAAGGCCAGAAGTGGCGCTGTGGCTCAAGTGGTAGAGTGCTAGCCTTGAGCTAAAGAAACTCAGGGACAGTGCCCAGGCTCTGAGTTCAAGCCCCAGGACTGGAAAAAAAAAATAGAATCCAGACTTCACACCATAAGACCCAGCATCCAACTTAAAAAATTTACAGCCTAGAAGCAAGAGGTGAGTTCTGCCCATTTGTATAGGAAATGGCGCTTTGCTTTCTGCCAGGTTCCTGGCCAGGGTCAGGGTCGGGCCAAGCTGCCCTGATGACTACCTCCTGTTTGCAATTTGAGGCACTTACTGCAATTTGAGGCAGGAGCAGAGGCCTGTCTCTTTCAGCTACTGACTTCTCCCCACTGTGCCTCCACCCAGACAGCGACCATGCCCCATTGCTCCAGTGCTGGCTTGGTCTATTCCCCACCAGGACCAAGAGTATGGCCGGGCTGTAATTGTAGCCAGCTGGAGGAGGGGGTAGACTTGGCTATAAATACTCAAAAGGCTGTTAAGCGCCTGCAGCTGTGGCCCAGAGGCTGTGGTGGGCTTTAGGGGGTGGGGGAGCAGGGCGTGGTCTGAATCTCCTTGCAGAGCCCAGCTAGTTGGCCTCAGGAGGGGGGAAGGCGGCAGCAGTTTGTGGAACAGATAAAATCTGTTCTTAATTTAATGAAAGAGGAGCTGGCTTAAGCTGGCAGAGCTGGACGACCCTCTGGGAGGATGGTCACTTGTGGGGACAGAAACAGCCATGACACCAAGACGGTGGTAGAAATGGATGGGAGCCCTACACACCCTGATCTGGGGAGGCAGGAATCTCCCACAATTCTAACGCCAAGGACCATTCATAGCTGGGACTTGAGTATCTCTGAGGACCTGAGTAAGGGACAGTCGGGGGGCTTGTACTTGAGTAGATTAGTAGTTCCTGTGAAATTTCTTTCTCTGTCAGTAACCACATGATTTGTATGAAAGGAAGTCCTGTGGACATCCCTACAGACCTTCCTCTGTAAGCTGCAGACTCCCTGCTTTTCCCATAAGGACTGACTTCCCTGCCTGGGGAGCTTCAGAAGTTAAAGGACTGTCTTAACCTAACCATTATGTACATGGGAAATTGAAGCTTGGAAAGACCAAGGAATTTACCTAAAGTCATATGGGGAATTAATGACAGCTAGAACTAAAAACCAGGTCCCTTAAATCCCAGGGGATAGGGTTAAGGCTAAGAAGAGAAACTGAATAGTCAGGAGGGAATATGGGAAGTGAAAAAAAGATCTTGTCCTCTGTACTGGGCTTCAATGGCCTGCAAGGGCCGATCTGGGAGTGGTGCTGGGGGTCAAGGCAAGAGGAAATCTGAGCTCTGCATGGTGTTAGCAACCAGGATGGGGCCAGAAAGGGGCCTACTGCCCCTGCAGGCTCCCCCTACCTTGCAGCCATGACCGGACCGGGGCATGACTGGAGCAGGTGCCAGTGAGCATTGGGCACAGTTGGTAAGGGTGTAGGAGTCCAGGACCAGAGGGAAGGCACGAAATGGCTGCTGCCCAGCCTGTTCCAGCATAGCCAACATCCCAACGGGACAGTAGAGAGTGACACAAACCCAACTCCTTTTTTTTCAGGGCCCAACTTACCAGTGGAAGCATTAGAGTACTTTGCAGGTGGGGGGCAGGGTAAAGGCCACATCTTCTCTTCTGAGGGATAGTCCCAGCCATCGATACCTAGAATCACATAGGTATCCCATCCACCTTCATGCATAGGAGACACTTTTCCCACCATAGCCAGTCTGGTTTCAACCCCCAACCTGACCTGAACATATTAGGTAAGAGAGCACTAGGTGAGGGCACCTATGATCTCTCTCCCTCCTCCTATTAGCTTCTGTTGGTAGAAGGAAGTCCCAACAGCCAGATCCTGTCCCTCCCCAGAGCCTCTGCTCTTCCTGCCTAAAAACTTAGTCCTTGGAAGAGCCACTCCTGGAAGCATCAAGACCCCATATTTAGCTGAGGTTCACAGCAAAAGCTGATGCTTTCTTGTAGTCCCCTATCCAGACCCTTGAGTCACCTAACCTGAGAAAGTGAAGGATTGGTGAAGGACCATATGGGAGAGGGAGGTGGCAAGGATCCAGTATTTATTGAGCAGGGCAGGGGCAGGGCACAACTGGGGCAGGCTAGGCAAAGAGTCAGTGTGGGTACCCAGAGAAGCAGGCTATCCCTTACATTTTTCTCCAACCCGTATTTCCCCTCTCCCAGGAAAAGAAGGGGCAGGAAGTTCAGAAGGGCCCAGCTGTGGAGATCGCAAAACTGGACAAACTACTGAACCTGGTGAGGGAAGTGAAAACCAAGATCTGATGGTCTGGTCTCAGTCTCTGCCCATTTATTGAACTAATATATTCCAGGTCCTGGGCTGGGTACCAGATGCCTGCTTCCAACTTGTGATCCTACCCCTGCATCTGCCCTTCTCCTGAAGGTTCTGACACCTTTCTCCCAAACCTGACCCTCAACCACCATTACTCCCTTTTGACTTGCACAAATAAACCGGTGTTTAAAAGCTCACCTCCTATCTTTAATTTTGCTACTGTGGGGCCCTCAGGAAGGAGAAAAATCTCAGGATAGAGCCGTAGTTCCATTTATTATCCAGCAAACAGTGGGAGGACCAGAGGAGGGGCCCAGCCTGGACACCCTCCCATTATTGCCATGGGTTCCAGTTTGCTTCCCCAACCTAGAGGGCCCAGAGGCACTGAGCTTAGGGAAAGGGTAAACCCAGCCCTTGGACCTTGGGATGGAGCAGAGTCCAGATGGCCCTGGCCCTAGCACCAACGCCTGAACCCCTACTCTGGGCCTATCTATCTAGGACCACCTATCTCCTGAAGCCAGGCTGGGTCCAGCTCCAAGCAGGTTGGACTCAAGAGTTCTGGACCCCAGGCTGGCTGAACTCTGGAGTCCTAATTCCAGGCTCTGAATGGGGTAGATTCACGTCCCAGGCTCCAGGGTAGACCAAGGGACCTTCAGGGTTGCAGCAAGTAGCTGCCTTCATGGCTAGGTTTCTGGGGTGGTGGTGCCTTCTCAGGACAGGGGCCAGGGCTGGAGTTAGGACTAGAATCAGAGAGAGAATCGGCGTCGGCAGAGCGAGAATGGCAGGCCCAGCAGAGAATGACCCAAAGCAGCAGCAGCAAGAAGCCTACGAGGCCGTTGCAGACGATGGCAATAAGAGCCCCCTGGGAGATGGCTGCCCCCATGACGGGCAGCACCCTCAGACCAGTGCAGATAGCAGAGTTGCTTCAATGACAAGGCCCATGCCGAGACGAAACTCCAGGAGGGCCAGCTTTCCAAGGAGGCTGTTCTGTCCGTGCAGGCAACGATTCCTAGGCAGTGGAGATGCCCAACTGCAGTCCTGAGCCTGGGGGATACAGAGCAAAGGAGAGGATGGTGAGGGAGGAATGGGGGAGACTAAGTGGGAGAGCTCCCCTCTCACATTGTTCGCTTTCCTGGCAAAGGACCTTGGGTTCCAGCATACTTAAATATCCCACAAAGCCAACACCCTCATCCTAAGGCCTAGCTTTGGGCACCTGAATGTGGGTGTAGCCAGGATAGGGATGGTGGAGTGGGCAGCCAGCCTCTGCTTTGCTTTTGCAGTGGTGGGACTGAACCTAGGGCCTTGAGCATTCTAGGCAAACACTCTACCACTGTACTACACCCCCAATCCAGGCAGATTCCTCTATCTCATTCTCCTGGTGGGCACAGCCTGGCCCTGCCTCCTCAGCTTCCATCCACAAAGGCACCCTGTTGGTGAGTGGACTGAGGAAGTCCAAGACCCAGCCAGGAAGGGAATTGTGACCAGCTTTGGTATGGCCAGGTTACCTCCTCTCTCTCAGCTGCCAGCCAAGCCCCAGAGACCTGCAGAGGCGCCAGCTTGCACAGAGGGAACTTTGTGGAGGCCCTGGCAGGCATGTGTGGGTTTGGTGTGTCCAGGGCTATGTCCCTAGGTGCGCCTCTCCCTGGGACTGTTCCTCTGGGTCAGCTATGTGTGTATGTCTCCTGTGTCTCTCTGTTCTCGTGCTGGATGTGTGCCTCTGCTTCTGCATTGCCACCTCTATGATTGTGTGTGGCTGCCTGTCGCTCTGGGTAGCTCTAATTTATATTTGTGTGCGTCCCCATCTCTGAGTGTCTTCGTTTCTCTTCCAGTCTGCCCATGTTATCTTTCATCAGTTCTCTTCCTGGCTGTGCGTCCCTCTGTCCTCGTGGACGTGTCTCTCTTTTCCGTGGGGTCCGTCTCCGTGGTTGTGTGTCTCCCGTGTGTCCCTGCCTTTGTGTCTGTCTGCTCTCCCCCTCTGGGCTGTGTGTCTAGTCTCAATGTGGGTCT